TGTGTATATCGAGTTTGAGTTGCATGGACACATCAAGGTGTTTGATAACGAGTCCAACGTGATGATACAAACCCGAGATTATATGAATATACAAGTTGATGAATCAAGTCAAGGTTTGCAAAGTGTCGATATGTCAGGTCAATCAAACAAGTCAGTCAACCATTATATGGTGACTAGTGATGGCACGGTTTGAATGTCAACGAGTTAGACAGTCGACAATATGTGATAACTGCTATGCGTATGCGTGTGTGATTGCGATTTGGTCAAACCGCAGCACTTGCATATCACTGAACTGGTTTGATGTGTGTGATGTGTGTGGTGTAAGCAGTATGCATAAACTCGTTGATATCATGGACTATATTCCGGTATACATCACACATATACAGTGGTAAACACCAACGTGTGGTGTATCCAGTGATCCTATATTGGTCGATTGGTGCAATATGATCATGCCACATACTATTGTATTGGCGACAATGTGTTGTCGAACAGGCGAGATCTCGAGTGTTTGCAACATAAATGGAGTGCATGGACAATATTGCTTGTGTACCATCATGTAATGATATCACCTGGAATGTGCTATGTAGCGGCATCATAGTGCGGCAATATACTCTGGTCACCAATCTTGATATCGGATGCCAAATTAAGCAATGGGCGATTGTATAAAGGGGGATCCCTTTAAAGTTACCCTGACATTCATAACAGTAAATCAATGCTAACTCTGGAAATAAATACAATAAATGAAATAAAGCCAATCCCTTAGAGCGGTCATTCAAGGAACATGCTTTTGATATTACCCGCCAATAATGTGTATAAATACGACACCAAATCGACGTGTTGAATGACATTCATTACAACTTGCTCAACCAACCAATACAATGAAATTATCAATTGCCCTACTGTCATCGATCCTTGCTGTCTGCTCAGTTACTACAGCTAGTCCAGTTTACCCCAGTTCGGCCACGAGCTCTGAGACCAGCACTCCAGCTGATGGATCTGACTCTCCAGAATATCCTACATCAGCAGATCTTAAGGAATATTGCGGTCCATTCGATGATGTTGAAGTGTCGTATATCAAGGACTCTGGAAAAACCCATGCTAAAATCGAAAAAATGTTTAAAAAACTTGAACTCGTAAGTTATTACATTAGTTTTGAAAAAGGATTGACTACTGAGCTGCAGCAAAAAGTCGAGACTATGAAACAAACTTCGGACAATGGGTTAAGTGCTGCCGAAGCCGAGCTTAAGATGCATAGCGGCATTCTTGTAAAACTTGAAGCTGAGAAGCAGGAACGCATAGATAAAGGCATGTCTTTGGTTGACGAAGATGAGCTTTTAATGGGACAACTTAAACAGTACATGGGTCTGGATCCATCAACGAATGGTGATCCTACTTCACCAAAAACAACTTCTGCGTATGAAAAATGTCACAAGTTCTTCCTTGATAGTTTTATGCAAGCATTGCCATAATCTGAACATGATGCAACTTTTCAAGATTCTGGTGTTCAGCAACAAACTTTTCAATCAGACTTGTCACATTGTTGCAGCTCAGTGGGCCATCAACAGTTTCATCTAGGATATGTTGTAATGCAGCGTGTATTGCATGTTGGTTTACTTTTGATTTGTCATGCATCCAATCTCACTCATTCAATAAACACCTTTTATTGCCAAACCATGTGTATTAGACTAATGACTTGATCATACTACACCAATCAACTATCATGCATTGTATTGATCACTGCAGTGTCATTGCTGAATCCATGCAATTATGTATATTGCCATTTTGGGTTACCAATCAACACATTACATTTGACACCAACCCATTGTTATCACTGGACTATTTAATCCAAGTGACTTGGCTGGTTCAAATGATCCGGCTGGTTTTGACAATCTGACAGTATCCACAAATCCATGTTTAATATTTGCACATATTTCATTGACATGCTACAAACTAATATTGAACGTCACATTACATTGTTTTGGTCTTGAATGGTACGATATGTATCAGCCGATGTTTCGTATTCACATTCACATCCAGTATATACAACAAATCTGTCCATAATTCAACATATCAGCCATATTTGATTTGACAGTCATTTGTCACATTGTTGTGTACTTGCAACGATCAGTATCAATCATTTGCATGTAGTCAGCTGTCTAGTGTAATGTTTGCAGTATGATCACATAACATGACATCTGGTGATATAGCATACACCACAACCACAACCAGAAACATCGATCGTTGTCCCAATCAATATCAACAGTTGCATCAAACAAATCCATAAATCCACAACTCGGCAAGTGCAATGCATACAACTACAACATGTGTATACGAATACCGAGTGTGTCCAACTACAAACTATGTATATTGAGACCATTGGATAGTATATTCGACACGTCATTGACATTGATAGTCAATTAGTATTGTGAGTGACCCTATGCATGCAACAGGTTAACATGGTTGACATGTTGGTGTTGGATGTATCAATGTGACTATATTCCAAGAATTGATCGGACACGGCTCAACATCAAATTTGTTTCTAGCAATATGTTTATTGTGGTACCAAACATCAATCACAGTTGTTGATTGTTGAAAACTCGTTGTTGGAGTATTACTGGCAGCTATTTCAGTATTTGAAAATACGTGTTGTTTGCAATAATGAGTATGATGGTATTTACAACAATGATCTTGATGTGTTCAGTGTATGACAGAGTGTGTCCGTCATAGTTCAAGTTTCAAAATGGTAAAACTGGACTGGGAATGTTGAATCTATCATAACATTCAACCATTTCAAGCAATAAAATCGATATGGATTGAATTGAATTCGAGTGGTGCATTGGCATTCAACTATCATGCATGGTATATACACAGATCCGTTTGCATTGATTTGTATTGGCAAACAGCCTGAAGCATATTGGTTTGAAAGTGCTGGTGATTATTCTGATAGCTATTGTATGATTGATTGGATGTGTATAAATGTTGAATAAAATCCATGTTGCAGCAACTGTTTTCAGAATAAATGGCATTTTATTGACCAGTATTGATGACTGCATTACGCTCAATAAACAACCATCAATGTAACAGCCTAAAAACAGTCGTCATGTTTTAGCATTTACACTGTAAGCCATTTGTTATAATGTGTAAACCAAAGTCATGTCTAGTGTCTGACCAACTGGTTGTTTGGATCAAAACCATGCCTGTTCAAGTTGATGATGCGATAAACCAAGAAATACATCAAATCTCAGTAAACGCTGTCACATTTTCCAGGTTGCTGAAACTCACATTACGCACAACTTGACATGAATGACAATGTTGATGTTGAGACTATCAATGTATTACAGTGTATTGGTCAACAGTGACTGCGATCAATGATAATATTGCAGTCAATTCAATCCAATTGTTGATTGGAACAATCATTATCCACTTGTCAGATTCAGCATGTAAATGCATGTTTTGTAACACATTTACCAATCCAACAATTGACTGATCAGAAATGATTGTGAGACATTTCTGTGAGAATGTTGGAATGTGCAGTCTGTTGACTTGCATTGTGTGATTATTTGTGAGACACGCATGTTTGGATTGACAGTCGACATTACAAAATAGTTTATAGGAATCAGAAACCCTCAATAATGGTGTTTGAACTGGGACCTACATTGCTTTCTTGCTTTATTTTATGTTCCTCCGCTGCTCTTCCGTCTTATAAACTCACTCTCTTCCTGTTCTTTAATAAACAACGTAATTAGTTTATTGGTTCATTCTTTCATATCTTTGATCAGCTGTGATATATTTCCAACTATGACGACCATGAATATGCCGCATATGTTTACAACCTTCATATCCGAGTTTTTATGATAGCAAGTCATTGAACAACCCGACCTGTATACAAATTGACCAATAAACGACAAATGAAATCAATCTAAACAGTGTACAAAACATGACCAATTGAACAATCAGTCAAATATTTGGTATACAGTAACAGCATATTCTGTAGTAATGGATTGTAGATGTGATGACAACTATCCATAATCAGGGTGACAATTTGAAACTACCTGGTTACTGAATACATGACCGCAATTGAGAATATCAATGCAATATACTACTGAAATTGATTTTCCATTAACAGCGATGCTTGTATATTAATCCACCCTACAGGGTGTTTCCAGCTTTGTCCACCCTATATGGTGTTTTTTAAATATACATTTGAAAAGTGTTGATTGTCACCCTTGAAGCTGCCGTCATTATAAAATGGCAGCCATCTACCAAGTTCAAAACACCTTCAAAACACTTTCATCACACTCATCACACTTTTATCAAACTACTCGATACAATGCTGATTACTCTAGAATGCGTTCTACTTGCGTTACAAGCGGTTGCTGCAGTTCGAATTCCATTAGATTCGTCAACTGGAATTGCCGGCCAATCAAGCAATAGGCTATCGAAACGATCACCCGTTGAATTGGGTCTTGGTGCTAGCCGATGTTTCGCGATAAAATCCAATGTTTATGGAGTTGATGTACGTATCATGTCATGCATTGTAATTCGATATCAATTTGCACCACGTTGAATCAATCTCACACTTGTTTAAAATAGTTGAATTTACTAGTCGATTCATCAGTTTCCGATATAGTCGTACCACTTCCTAGTTCAAGCAACGATGTAGGTTTGGCTATACAAAGTATTCCAGGTGGACAACCCGTTACTATAAATTACAAAGGCGATGAGTATAATGGAATTAGTTCCACAACCGCTGTGACGATTCCGGGTACTAGGATAACTGGAATTGATTTACCAGTATTGGCAGTTCAAAAAAAGTCGGCAAGTCTAATTGGTATCAATCCAAAGTTTGATGGAGTATTTGGATTTGGTCACCCATCGTTGTCAAAGCATCATTCACCAATCACTGCGATAAATGTTTTGTATAATGATGGTGTCATTTCTAAAAACGAGGTTGGTCTTCAACTATGTCCGTATGAAATGCTTTCAGATAGCTTCATCAATATAGGAAACACGGATATAACTGAAAAATGCGGAACGAATGGAAAAAGTATTGCGTGGGTACAATCGCCACCAAACAGTTACTCTACTGTCAACATCAAGAGTATACTAGTTAATGGCGAAAAAGTGGATCTGCCTGCTGGATTCCAAAAAAAAGTGGAACATGGACGTACTTTGTACTCGAGTTTGGAAACATGTTCTACATATATGCATTTCCCTGAAACAGTCGTGGCAGCGTTGATTAGTGCTATTCTTGATAATGGTGCAATCACTGTCAAAAGTAATCTGTTTGATGACCAGCTCAGTAAAGAAGAAATTGAAAAAATATTTTTAAAACACTATCTAATGCCCACATCCAACTACAATATCAAGTGGGACAGGATGCCAACGCTTTCAATTACAATGCATGCTGAAACTCCCGTAACTGTTGAAAATCGCAATTCCGTTGTAACAATCAAATTGGGTCCTAGAAGCTATATGCAGAGATATGATTCTAAAAGATGTAAATAGTTGACAATTGTATGCAGTATGTGTTGTTTGATTAACCTGACTAATATACATGTTGAATTATAGTTGAATTTGCTATAGAAGTTGGTTCAGATTATTATGCAGCTCTTGGTATTCCATTTATGAACCAACTTGGATTGACATTTGATCGAAGACATGCACGCATTGGGTTTGGTCCTGGATGTGGATGCGAAGCCGCGACTGATGGATATCCCAGTATTTCGACCGGTTATCGAGTGCTCTGGCCATTAACACAGTAAGTTGTTTGATATTGATGTGTGGATGTGTGAATTGATATTGATCATGAATTTGATGTATACTGTTAGATTGTCTGAACAACCAAGTACTTCAGGCTCAGGTGGTGCATCTACTCGCAGGAGGAAACCAACAACTGCAGCTGATCAAGCAGTCGTGTCTGAAGACACTCACGACACTGCCAAGAGTCACAAACAGACTCTCAATAAACTCGACTGAATACAATTCATTAGTGACAAACTGATATTATATTCATTTTTAATGTGGTGTGTTCATGTTTGATTGTGTGATATGTCCAAGCCGTGCATGTATTGGATCAGTCCAGTGTGTATCGTAATTGTTTGATACACGATGATCGCATAGCTCAATCATGGTATGGATTGCTTGAATCCATCACTGTATATCTGGATGATCATGTCGATACTGGATGCGCGATATCAACATGTGATACTTGATACACGACAAAGTTGATACTGCGACTGATGTGTGTGATCAGTCAGGCTATTGATGCAACCTTTTGATAGCACAATCAACGAGTCAAACCAGTCAAACCAGTCAGATCTGATATCAATACACATGGCTATTGTTGGTATTGATGTTGTATGTCAGCATCATCAATGTGTACAACTATGCAATATACAATCAACTGTATCGTATTGTATTGGAAATACAAGTGTCAATGTACAATATGATATAATACCAACCAAGACTGTGTACAATGATCAAATACAATGCATGAAAATTCAATTTTATTGTAAATTAAACCATAATGGCAATTGAATTGGTTGAAACAAATCCAGATTAAGATTCAAATCAATCAAATCAATTGGATGGATCGTCACGTCTGGATTTCTGAAAGAATGATCCAAATCTACCCATAGACTTGGAGGAATCTTTTCGTCTATTGGAGGAAACTCTTTGTACAGAGGATCCAGATTCGGATGGTGTATCCAATAATGGTTGCGAATCTTGACGTTGTTGTTGATCATCATGATTTTGATGTTGTTGCTGATCACCATGATTCTGACCAAGATTATTACTGCGTCCTGATGATTGTCCTTTACTACCTAATTCGCCAAGGTAACTCATAACGGAAGAATGTGTGGCGATGAAAACAAACTGCTGTTCAAATGATCTAGGATTCCAAGATTCTCCGAAAATGAGATTCACGAGTCCTATTTCAATCATACTCTTTCCGGCTACAAAACCACTACACTTGAACTCGCAGTCTTGACGACTTTTTCCAAAATCGGCAAGTTTGGATTTTTGGGCTTCAAGATCAAGCCTAGTCTTCTGAATTTTACCATCATATTTTGAATTGTCACCGTTTCTTTGAGATTTACCTCACAAAACATAAATCTTTGTTTCCAAGTCCGCTATCAGTTTCTGTTGATTGTCATATTCAGATTGTAACAACTTGCATTTTTTTCCTTGCTCATTACGATCATCCTCTAGCTCTATGTACTTGTCGAGTAAATCTTTGACGCTATCTGAAAGTGGATCAAGACCACTTATGCCTATACCGTTTGGATTAGGAGTTGGCGAGGTGATAGCCTCAGTACTTGTAGTTGCACTGGGATCAATTGGATTGGCAATAGTAACCGAGCATGCAAGCAGGATTGATGACAATACAGCAACTGCGAGTTTCATTTTACTGGTTTGGTTGAGCAAGTTGTAATGTCATTCAACAAGTCGGTTTTTGAACTGTATTTATATCCATTATTGAATAAATAATATTAAAAGCATATTCCTTGAATGGTCGTCTTAAGGGCTAGTGTTATCAGGGTTGAATGGTGATTTGTTGTCAATGCCAAACTTTGAAGAGTCTCCCTTTATATGGTGGTCTGCAATTGTGGTTGAGCCGCTATTTGACCATACATTTGAATATCATGTGGTTGATTATAAAGCTTCACTCTGAAAAGGGTTAGGGTTAAGAAATGAGTATAAACTGATACTGGAATGAGTTGACACTCGACTATTAGTTGGTCATCAACATGTGCCGTGATATTCCATGTTTGTTAAAATAGCAAGTGATTGGCATGATTCAACGTACAAGCAGTGTATAGTGAACATCGGATGATACCGTTTTACTTGAACAAGAGTGCTAAATCCGTTGGAATAATTGTAATTTAGTCGTCTATTTCTGTACTACATTTTACACCCTCATTGTTATGTTGAAGCAATCAGACATTGACCGTTTACGTATAGTTTGAATGGTTAGTGTGTATCTGTTGTAATATCCAAGCAAGATATCTCGGCTTTAACCCTTAACAAGCAAGCTAATGCTTGCATTGGACACTCCCTAATTTATCATTTCCTCATTATTGTTCTCTATGCTCCAATACCACTACTATTACTTTTCAAAAGACCCAGCGTTACCAATATTTTCTATAGCGGCATATTATATTATATTTTACTAATTGAAAGACCCAGTATCTTTATCTTTTCTACATTCTACTTTTACGATAAACACCTATATTCATCAACATATAACACAGTCACTGCAGGATGAATACTGGAGTGATCCATTTGACACGAATACGGTTGTAGAAGCAAAGCATTTGCGGTTACACAACACCCTTGAAGGGTGCTTTTAAGTATACCTGATCAAAGGGTCGTAAAAGCATAGTTCAATCGACACGATCATCAAATTGGTCAATATGATATTGTGGATAGGGAGCAGCATACTGTCTGGTTTGATAGTAACCCACTACAAGCAATCAAGTAGCCCTGTGTCGTTGGTTAACCTAAAAGGGTCAGGGTTGGTTTACTATACAAAAATATAAATACGATCGATTACGTTCAATATTTTAATCGACATCAACAATCTTTTAAACCCATCCACCAATCTAATGAAGTTCATCGACATTTTATTCTTACTGACCGCAGCAGCAACCGCTAATGCAATACTGGTTTCAGATAACGGCAATGACTCAGTTCAGGCATCAAGCACTTCCAGTCAAGTGTCTGGCCCAACCAATGAACCTGAACCAGGTACTTCCAGACAAAGCCAGCAATACTTGCATCGAACTGGTCCAAGTGCTCCAAAACGAATTCGAAAACGAATTCGAAAACGCCCAAGCGGTAGGCCTGGTTCAAGCACTCTCGATCCAGACCATAAACAACTAATGTATCAACCCGGTCAAAGCACTTCCAATCAAGACCAGAAACAACCAATGGATCAACCCGGTCCAAGTGCTCCAAATCAAGCGGTTGTATTAAGCGAAGAAGACCAGGAAATCTTGGATAGTCTAAACCAAAAACTTGAAGAGCTTGAAAAAGATGAAGTGGCCAAGATCAAAAAATATTCTAAGGGTATAGCTTATCAATTTAAACTATGGGGAGTATTAAAAGATGATGGACAGGCATCTGACCCAAATTACACCCCAAGAGGTATAAGGCGATTGAGAAAAGATTGTGAAGAAGTAAGAAAATCAATAGTCAATATCAGAAAAGAATTGAAAACGTTTATGGAAAGTCATGGTTTGAAATATGAAGATTTGCTCTCTGACGCTGCACAGTTGTACGGAGATTTGAATTCGGATTCGGATTCAGATTCAGATTGATGATATGCCAACCAATTTGATTTTGAATAAATTTAAACTTTCTGATGTGTTGGTATTTATCGAGTATTGTGAATGGGTCAACAACCATATCATTGATTGCATACTGTGTTGGGTATTACATCAACAGTTACTGGGTTGTTGATCGATACATTGACACGGTGTTGGAATATCCAGACAGATATCCTTAAGCGGTAACCTATGAAAAAGCTAGTTCTATAAAAAAGCACCAACTTAAAATCTCAAACAATGGATGGTATGGATGCTGCATAAACTAACAAGCATTGTATAACAAATAAGCTATACGCAAGGTGAAACTTATTTAAGGCGATGACTATCGTTCCCTTTATACAAGAACTGGGAAGCTTAGGACCCTCAACGGCGAAGCTTAGAGTGAAGATCTTATATCTCCACTCTCTCCCTTAACTACTTCTTATTTTACTATAAAAGCTAGAATGCTTACTTTTATCAATAAATAACTCTTCAAACTATTTCATCTGTCCAACTACTTTATTACATCTTTTCACTACTCTTGAAAAGACTAAGTCTGTTGATCTTGATTTAAAGTGCAACATACATTACACTTTTGATTTGTTCTCTTCTGATAACTACTAACAGTTACAGATTATATTCTACTCTTTACATTATACTATTCTACATACAAAACAAATCACAAAGCTCGAAATATTCTGACAATTTGTGTCCAAAATAAAGTCTAGTCCGTTTCTGCATCAAGAGTACCGAGTGAGCGGATCTTTGCAATGGGTTTGAAATTTTCTGTAATTGATATGATACTGTCGTTGTTTGTTCCTGTACACATGCAAATGAGGTTTGTTTTCCAATCAATTGAGTAACAAGTAGAGACATGAATGAATGATAAACTGCTTGATCCTGTTGAAACATTGATTGAACATTGGTGCATTGACACAACTCTTGAATCTCATTCAACAAGAATACAGGTGGAGAATCACACTGGACTTTAAAAGCAATATTGGACAGTCATGTTTGGAAAGCAAGTTGTTTCTCCTGAAAAGTGCCAATATATCCAAATTGGCTGATCAGCTCAAATTGTATCGCATCAACTTCAGTCTCTTGAAAAAGACAGTACAAAAGTAAATTATTAGACGAGTGAAGAAAGTCGAAATATTCTCTTGGTTTGGCACTGCGAATGCCGAAATAGTCCAGCAAAATCAAAAGCTAAAATTCATATTCCAAAACATCTCCAATCAAACCACATTCAAGATCCGACATTTCGAGTTGCAACACATTTCATCAAAAGTCTCATTCCTCTGCTGGTACTGGTCATGATGGTTTGGTACTTGTCTTGTTGGCGCATTCGAATGGTATTGTTGTTTTGCTAGACTATCTCATCCCTACCAATAGAGTCTTGGGTTCAAAGTATTTCAAACAACCATCATTGGCAGATCCAAACAACGGAAACAAGTCAAACTAAAGTATAGTGCACCATGGGATCCAAAGCAGGATATCCACATCCATTTGCGCTCTTGGTATTACATTAGCAATACCTTGACTAGCATCACTCTTGGATTTGATGAGTGGATGTAGGTCGTTTAAAACAAGACCATTCAGTCGAGTAAGAGGACAGCATGGATCAAGAGTTGTGTCAGTTGCTTCAGAAGAAACGAAATAGTCTTTATCAAAAGCAGATCTATCAACCCATCAGGCAAGTGGAGTTTGTCAACAGGAGTAGTGTCAAAACGAGAAGTGACAGTCTTGTAAGTTGGACCAAGTGAGCAACAGTAGAATGGTCTTTCCAGCTCTTCAATAAAATGAGGTTCAATAGGCACTGGTTGATTGTCAAGGTGATCGACACAGATTTCTGGTTTCCATTTTGAAAAAGTTTCAGACGACTCGAATCAAAAGCCTCGCCAGAATAGTTCAAACATTGATGACTGAATACGTTGTAATTACAGATGGGCAAGTCGATTGTTAATTCTTTAGTTTGATCTTGGAGTGACATTGTTCTTGAGATGGCTAATCAAATAAAAGTAAAGCTTGAAGAGTTGAATATTCAACAATCCAGCACTAGACTTTATTTCTTGAATATTATTATTAAAAGAACAATGGCATTTCAACAGCAACTACACAATATTCAACTATTATCGACATGATTGGAGTATTGAACATCAAGTTTGATATGCGGTGTCATGGAATCATCCGGTTGTCCATATGATTGTCAATCACCAAACGTGTAGTTGTCAATGTTCAGATCCAATATAAAACAAATGACCATTGGTGATGAGAATATCATGTAGTATTGATTTACAAGTGCTGACACCAAACCACAATGTATTTGACAAACACATCTAACGAATATTACCGTATAATTGGTTTCAATCAACATCTACGGCCATACACACAAGAAAATACCGGATCCCGTTCGATCTCCAAAGTCAAGCTTGTGATGGCTCAGTCAGTACTGTGGTGGGGGACCACACGGGAATACTGAGTGCTGTAGTTTTTGCTAAATTAACAATCTGATCTCGTTTTGGATGTTTTGGATCAAATCTCGACTTGAATCTTCATGATGGTTGTGTTGAAATTGGAAAGCAAGATTTTCATCTGATAAACTATTTGACAGTATCTTAATATGGCGTGTATACTGTGTTCACTACATGATGGTTCATTCCATTTGTCTTGCAAACACTAAATACTACCATAACAGCAGCATAGTATACACTGTATTACCTTCAAGCTATCGACTTTTTCAAGCATACTGCACTAATCAACTAGTATACACCATATACACTGCATGATTAGTTGCACTTTCAATCACCATCTGTCATTATTTTGTTTGCTACTAGTTCACCAGTCTGCATTCAATCACATGCATATTATTACAAACACCATTGTGCAATATACATCATTCTTATGATCGTGTTTGTACCAACTCGGATCTGAATGATTACATACACTTTCAACATATTTGATATGGTCTGATCCAGTGACACATTAGTCAATATCTATATGCGAGTTTCCCACTCACTTTTGATTATTGCAATGCGGATCCACAATGTGATTAAACTGGCACTATTTACCATACTTGAATAGGCTACTGCTAGACCATTGTACACGATTACGTATTCGACTACTGACATGCATAACATGTTCAACCACAATATATCATCAAGTATTACATTACAACACACGTAGCCATTGACTTGAGATCTGCAACTCTGTACCACACCAACAATTGGAATGACGATCGCAATCATTTATTCCATCGAATGATCAACTATAATACAATAACATGATGGCATTCATTGACAGCTGTCGTGTCCATCACATGTATGATACTGTTCATTTATCCATGAACAATGCAGCCACATTTGCAGGTGAACCCACATTCTGCATATTTGATTCTTTTTAACATCATCGACCACTGCCTCTGCAACAATCGGAATGCAACACCATCTTGTAATGGTCAGATATGTTTGACTGGTCATTGTCATGACTGTTGCCATGACTCTTTGCAATGCTTTGGATAGTCCAAGATTAAACTGGTATTGACCATTTCAATTATACAACTCATGTCTGAAACCAAGCAATTGATGCATTACCAGTTTAATGTTTTGTCGAGATTGCTTGTTTGATAACATTTTCATTTGTCGTATTGTTCCCTTGCTCATAATTAATGCCATACATTTTATCCGATCTCCAAGTTGGCTATACAGTTGTAGCCAATCAACACGCCTGCTTACTATCATCCTGCTTTTGCTTATCAACTCAAAATCTAGTCATTTCGAACTTGAAATGAACAAGGCATATTGCAATCATTCATGATTACAAATAGCATGGTGATATAACACACTTGGTATATAAACAGGCATGCCATCAATTCAAGTAACTCAAGCCACTAATAGTGTGTCCACTTTTGAGTACTCGATTGATTCATGCTCCAATGAGTCTTGCTTCAACATATACAGAGCATGCATACAGCCAATACAAACAAGGTTGTTAGTGGTGTGAAATGGACGTTTCATGTATATGTCAATTACTCATTCGATATTATCACAGTTCATTAATGGATACCAACAGCCCAGTTTTATCTGTCCGAATTCGGCATTTGACTCGCAATGCACAAGTTTGGAGTGTATGCAAGTTGTATATGATGAAGCAAATTTCGGTTAGTCCATTTTGCATTGATTCCAAGAGTTTAACTGATTTACAATTGAAAACGGGTATCGGTGCTACATCCCAATACAACTGCAATGAAACTCGAAAATTTGTCATTTATGCAATCAATCAAAAGCAATATACCCGTTTTAAATGTATGGCTTGAATACATGTAATTCGCGAATCACATGCATTTGCATAGATATTGGCATGCTTTTCTTGATTAGCACATGTATATTCAATTAACTATCAAATTGCTGCGTAGCATGCTTTGTAGATTCAAGATATAAAATGACGTGAAATGGTATGGAACCAATCTCACCAACCTCTATCATTGTACCAGTTTGTATCTTATACTTGCTACATTCACACTATAGATATTGAAAATATTGTTCAAAATGTTTGTTTCTACTGTTTCTCTCGTTCTTGCTCTTGCCACCTCTGCAGTTTTTGCGGTTCCAACCATTCCGTCCACACAAGACGCCTCTGACAGTCTTCCATTCTACTTTCCCGAATCCACGTACCAGCAGATTCCTTATGAACATTCATTCAGCCTCATGGCTCCGTCCAATACCGATCCAGTCAAGACTGGTGTTGCGTATCTCTGTGACAAACTCAATCTCGCACCTAACGAGTTCAAGGTTTACAATAACTTTACAGACAGTGCTGGCATAACTCACGTATATGGTGCACATCTAGTTAATGATGCACGTGTATCCAATCACCAAGCTGCAGTCCATATCCAAGACGGCCAAATTATCTCATATTCTGCTTCGTTTGGTACTGAAAGCCATTTTGCCAAAAGTGAGCTTTCAGTCGCAGAACCCAAAGCCAAACTGACGTTTGAACAGGTTGCAGATGCTGTATCCAAAGCCAAGGGTCTGCCAGTTTACTCTGAGTTTAAACATGAGCTCGAGTATGTTCAACAGGCTGATGGCACGCTTGTGTATGCTTATAAATTCCAGCTTCGCGACAAGAATGTTATTTCATGGATCCAAGTTTGGGCAGATGCCGACACTGGTACGGTATTTCGGGTTCAGATATTGATTTTTATAGAGTCGGTACTAATCTGAATGTAAATGGATTGATGTTAGGCAAACTGATCCAGGCTGTTGATTTTGCTCATCGTGCAACATACAAGGCTATCAAACTTCCTGACCTCAATCCCAATGATGGATTTTCAGACATCAAAGATCCAGAATACAAACCATCGTCACCTAATGGATGGACAAACGGAACTGTCACTGAGGGTAACAACGCCAAGACTGTTGATTATACAAAAAAACCGCCAGTTCCAGCAAACGGTGTTGATGGTGTATTCAACACCAAGTTCAATTCCACTGCTGACGTTACCGATCCAGACAACATGCAGGCAGCTGCTGTCAATCTGTTCTACGTTGCTAACCTAATGCACGATATCACATACCAGTATGGTTTCAACGAGGCTGCTGGTAATTTCCAAACGGACAATTTTGGAAAAGGTGGTGAGGGTAACGATGCAGTTACAATCAATGTCCTAGATGCTTCGAGTACTGACAACGCCTTGTTTCACGTTCCAGCTGATGGTCAACCTGGCATAATGAGAATGTTCAGATTCACTCCTGCCAAACCCAATCGCAATGGTGGTTTGGACAACCAAGTTCCTTTGCACGAATATGGACACGGTATTTCAACTCGGTTGACTGGTGGACCTGCAGCAGTTGAGTGTTTGTTTAAAGGTGAAGCTGGTGGTATGGGTGAAGGCTGGTCCGATATATTTGCCACAATCATAACTGCCAAAGAATCACACAAAGCCGACACTCCAATTGTCATTGCTGCATATGCCAAGAATACGCCTATAGGTATTCGCACCCATCCTTACACGACTGACATGAAAGTCAATCCTCTGACGTATGCCGATGTTAAAACTCTTAAAAGCCCTCACGCTATAGGTGTAGTGTGGGCTTCTATGCTTTGGGAAATCTACTGGAACTTGGTCACCAAGAACGGATTCTCCACCAATCTCTACGACGCCAAGGGCAAGGCTGGTAACATTATTACTATGCAGAATATGATTGGTGGTATGATGCTTCAGCCATGCCATCCCACTTTCCTTGATGCTCGTGATGCCTTTATTGCATCTGATGTTGCTCGCTACAATGGAGCCAACAAATGCGAGATCTGGAAAGGATTCGCCAAACGCGGTCTGGGAGTCAAGGCTGCCAAGTTCAATAACGATTTCTCAGTTCCTGATGAATGCAGTGGTGGTACTTCATCGTCTAGCAGTGTTTCTATTGCTACCACAGCAGAATCTACCACAGTAGAGTCTGCCACAGCTCATAGTTTCTAACTCACCAAACATTTATTTCAACTATGCTGGAAAAAGTTGCGATCAAAACTAGATATTCAAGTCTAGTAATTGTTTCCCACAATTTATTGAATAAAGTATATTGTAACAGTGTATAAACAATCTGTATTGGTAACGGCTATTTGGTGTGTATGGCTTTGTGACAAGTAATGCCATTAGTTTAAACTCGAATGAACACGGCACACTTGCATGGAGTTATCTATGCTTTGATATTCGAGTTTATTCAGCAAATAAATCCATTCAATATCAAATAAAGGCTTGAATGAAATACATTCAGAACTATCAACCCAGAATATGCTGTTTTTACCAGACATTGACTAGTAATACAATATGTCCACCATTGGGTAGAGTTGTACCAATCAAAACAAGTATAGGCTGCATTATCACAATTACTGATGATCGATCTCAGAATTCTGTTTAAACATATCAATCAATGGCAATGACTGTTGAAAAGGCTAGCATGGATGACAAGTGCTGATGTATCAAATCAAGTAATACAATGTTCAACACGATATTGTGAGATTGTATATGCATTGCTCAACTCAATCAATATGCCTTTATAGCTCAGCTGGGAGAGCGTTAGACTGAAGATCTAAATGTCCCGCGTTCAATCCGCGGTGAAGGCATTTTTACTTTTCATATTTTATACTTTTGCATTCATACTCAATATTTGTCTATTGCTTGAGTTGATGTTGGCTGTCACTGTTTTTGATTGTAGATGATCATCTTGGTGTATTCCAGTTTTGTATGTATTGATTCGTGTAATGGCTTGTTCCAAATCACCCAAATCTGGATCATCAAAGCATGTCAGATTACATGACAGATCATCTGTTCATTACCCTGACTTGTAACATCAATGACCTTGTACATGATTCCAACTAAAAGCACATGTGATGATACTATCGAGTGTTCTGTTTGAACCAATACTGCCATTTTGTTGTTCAGATCACATTCCCAAAACATCTGCTTGATCAGTCCACCAAGCTATTCACTTTATATTTTATTGTATCTCGAGTATCCATCCATTTAATGATATGGTTGATTGCACATTTCAAGAATAAAATAGTTGTTTTTATACCAATCATACCACAAAACTGTCGATTTATTATCCCCTTTGGAATCTTTAATGGTATTCATTTTACGTGAATACGATTGTAAATCAAAGTTGGCAGTATGTTTAAAATTGAAATGATCAATTTTGAAAAATGATGGTTTTGAATGTGATCCAAAGTACAGTTTGTAAAGTTGAGCTATAGTTCATATTGCATCAAATCGGCATAGCAATGATCTAGAGATCAGATAGATATTGATGATTTGAACAGGGACAGTTTGACCGTGTAGGATAGTGCAGGCCAAGGACCATGAAATCCAGCACAATAAGTAACAACACTTCCAGACAAAAGACCAAGAGTTTCCATCAGTCCGTGATTGGTAATATCTTGTTCAGTATAGTGATACAGCTGATCGGCAGTCATGGACAGAGAGGGTGTACTCGAATTGTTTAGCAATGCAGTTGAGAGAACAGGAAATACGCCATATAAAAGAGCCAAACGACGATACATAAACTCCTTGTGTGTGACAGCAATAATGGGACGAATAGGCCGACGTTTGGATACGAAATGAGCCATATCACCCGTGTATGTGAATACAATTAATGCGACTGCTCGAGCCTATTTAATATAGATTAGTTTAAAAGAAATTGGAATGTATAAATATACTAAAATTGAAACCCAAGTGTACCTCGTCAGAAGCAGAGACTGCTGCATTAGCAATTGGGTGTCCAAGTGTCAGTTGCTGGATAGTCTTTGTACTTTCCCAGTGCTTCATGGCTGGCTGCTGCATAAAATCATCACCCGATTCGGCATTTTGACAAATATTGCTCATCTATTCATTACGGATTGATAGAAACAAAACAGTCAGTGGTATAGTTTCTTAATCCATGCATCTACTACATACAATGGACAACCAAAGACATTTACCATTTGAACTGTTTCAACTGGATAATCGCCAACAGCGCATTCACCTGAAAGCATGACTGCATCTGTACCATCCAATACCGCGTTGGCAACATCGCTGACTTCAGCACGAGTTGGAAAAGGCGAATGAATCATAGACTCGAGCATCTGAGTAGCAGTAATGACAGGTTTCTCTACATAGTGTCGTATTCACGTAAAATAGAACAAGAACGTCAGTGCATAAACAGCAAATCTTGTGAAATGATGGATGCGAATCACCATCGAGTCGGTATGCAGCAAATATACTTTACCTGCAGCATTAGCCTTTCTGATCAGCATCTTTTGAATAATAGGAACTCTTTCGAGACTGATTTCAACGCCCAGATCTCCACGAGCAACCATGATGCCATCAGTGACAGCAATAATCTCATCAATCACATCTAACGCTTGTGGTTTTTCGATCTTGGAGATGATCAATGGTCGCCATGGCAACTGAGGAAACTCTTCACCATATTCTGGCTCAACACCAGTCTCAAGACTACCAGAACTGATATTGGTGATGCTGCTAGTATCCACACCATCTAATCGAGGCCGTAACCTCAGAATCTCAAACAAGTCCAGCAGTTGCTGCACATCTGAAGCAACCTGTACAAACGACAGTGCAACGTAATCCAAACGATGATCCCACATGTATACTGCATCCAGTTTATCCTTTTCTGTCAAGGCAGGCACATCCAAACGAATATCTGGAACATTAATTCCCTTGTGTGGTTTGAGATGACCTCCCACTACCACCAAGAGCTCGATACTTGACGGTGATAGTCGTCGGGTCATTTTCAGTTGCATGGCCCCATCGTCAATCAGAACTCGGTGATCTGGCTGCAAGGACAACACCAAACTCGCTACTGTAGTGGTGATTCTTCCCTCGCTACAAGGATCATTACTGGCATCTAAAACCACGGTGGATCCCGATACGAGTAGAATCTCAGTCACTGCTGGCTGGAATGCATTGCATCGGATCTTTGGGCCTCCAAGATCTCCTAATTATCCAACAATGGATGGTCAGTATCGCAGATCTATATAGAGCGAACCGTTTGAATAAAATAGAAATGCTTGCCTAGGATAGCGACTGGCTTGCACAACTCAGCAGACACTTGTCTGATGGTTTGAATGATGGGCGTCTGGGTTTCTGGGTCGTAGATATGCGAAAAGTTGAGTCGGAAAACATTGACACCTAACAGCCATCAAGAATATAAATAGTTGGTCTGCAGTCGTTGGCATTCAATCTTTAGTGAGCAATAAGTTACCAGACTGGATGAGCTCTCTAATCTTGGGAACAGAAGAAGGTCCAAGAGTAGCAACAATTTTTGTCTTGCGAGTAGTGAGTTTCAAGGGCATTTCAATGGTAATCTGTAGTTATTGGTGATGGATAGTTTTACGTCGTGTTCATGCAAAATGATTATCAAATAAGACTGCCAATCTCATGCAATGATTGGTATCCCGAAATTCACTGGACAAATGTTGATATTATAGTTTCAGTAAATTCCACATCAAAACACTCAATCCCAATGTCTAATGTATTTAGACGATTGTGCAATGCATGATTATTCAAAAATGGAAAATCTCGGTTCAAAACTATAGTTTTTAAATCATATGATGGTTCCTGTGTCTACCGAGTTGAGAATATCTGCTAAAGCAGACAATTTCTAATAGGAAAGCGCAATAAATATTCAACCATTGCTTATCCCAAAGCAAAATAGTGCTTGATTTTACATGAATAGTACTGATTTGAATCTGTGAACCAACCACTCGAGTTTATTCTTCCGACTGCTGATCATCCGAGAAATCAATTGGTTACTTTATCTTCTGATTGAATATCAACACCATCACTTGTAAATCTACCCATATTCTAACCCGACCTGTAATATACGAAATAATACCATCAACTCTTTCATACCCACCATTCATCAGACGCGTCGCTTCAACCTCAGCCCACTCGTGTTTGTCCAGGTTCGAGTCGGGCCAGTGTTGTGCTGCATACCCTCCATTCCATATTTGATCAAAACATTATACTGTATCATATTCATTTCATTACAACTGACGTTAAAGTTGGTTTGCCAGACTTGTCCTTGCACACACAAACCATTGCCAAACAAGACTTGTTCATGTCGACATACAAACCCAAGACACTCGCCAACCACATTGGTTCTGCTCCAGTCACAGATCATCCGTCTCATAGACTTCTTCGCACAGCTAGCACCACATCCTTTAAAACGAATGAAACCTCTGATAGTGGTGGAACTCAAGGCACGTTTTCCAAACGTGTCTATCGCACAGGTATAGCATGTCTTGGCGTATATCAACAGACTTGTTGGCTAGGGTTGAACTTGAATATACAACTGATTTTTTGTCGAGATTTTCAGGTTTAAATATCACTGACCGCGATGGACATCTCAAGATGGAAGAGCAGTGTCGGTTTGAACCCGAGCAAGCTAGTATGCTTCTTGCCAGTGCATCGGAAAAGTACATGTTTAATCAACAATCCAATAGCACCTTGGAACAAAAGTTGGTGGATGATTTGTTTGAATTGGCATTGGATGCTCGAAGTGAAACTAAACGAGCTCCAATGCGGGCCTTGTCAAAAGATAAAAAGATAATGATTATTCGCCAAATGACGGTAAGTTTTTCATGATCATTTGCAAGTCAAACACACAGGTGTACAATAGGTTGGTTAGTGTTGAATTGATAGTGACGTTTTACACATTTGGCTAGGCAATGACGCAAAGTACTGCAAACACGACCGCATCAAAAAAACCAGCATATTATGTCGATCAACTCAATCAAGCTATTTCTGGTCAATCACATGGAAAAAGTCAAGCCGAGCGGTTGGTTGATATGGTGACTCGGTCTATTGCCGGAACAAACAGACAGAGCCAGGGTCTCAAAGATATTATTCTTGAACTTAAAGTGCAGTGCAATTGTCAATCCATGAGGTATTATACTTTGAAACAGAGTTTGTATTGTAAATGTTAAATTTCCAATAACCCAACGTTGAATGCAATTAGCTGGCTCAAGGAATTCATGGAGTGTGGTGGATTAAACTGTTTGATCAACGTTCTTTGTACCATGCATTCCAAAACGGGTCGTAAAACTAAGCACTTTGAAATTGAGTCGGAAACTCTCAAGATCTTGCGTCTTATAGCCAATCATCATAGTGGCATAGCAGATGTTCTTTATCACCAAAACTATCTCAACATTTTAATACAATCGCTTGATTCACCCATGCTGTCAGCTCGAACAGCCACAATGGATTTCCTATTAGCAATTGTGACGCTGGATTATCCAAAAGGCCATAAATTAGTCATGTCAGCCATGAACGATTTTCAAAAAATCCGAAAATTACCAAGAGTGTTTGACGCACTTGTGGAAGCACTTGTGCAAGCAGTGTCGTCGCGTGGAATTTTTGGAAGTGCCGTGTGCGGTAGCCTATCCACTTCACACACCACCACTACAAATCATCCAACCCACACGGGCTCAAACCAACAGACATCTTCAGATCTTGCAAGTCTTTTTACTCTCAACGTATTTGAAAAGCACCGTCTTCCAACTGAAAAAGATATACGCGAGTTTCTTGTATCCATTATTGCACTGATACGATTCATAGTAGAGGTTCCAACAGATTTTGAGTACAGAATGTATCTTCGAAACGAGTTTATATCTTCGGGATTGGTGCCAGCATTCACAAAATTGAAAACATGGGCCAAAACAGAGTTTTCTAGTGTGTTGCAGCACGTTGATGCATTTGAGCAGCTCAAGCAAGCAGATTTTGAGTATTTGGTTGAATCTCTGGATACAGATTTAGATGTGGATATCTATGATCCACAGCAACTGCTTGGTACGTTGCTTGTACAATGCTGCGATGCAGATCGCAGAGGTATTACCTCGATTCTACAGCATTTGTTGGTGGGCACAACGTTGATGGATGCATCTTCAAGGTAAATTATTGGCATGTGAGTCTCTGTCAATCTCGTATCATTTAATAACCTGTTTGATAATGATACACATTGATTTGGTATCAACCCCATTTCAAAATAGATCCCATATGATGTACGTCATTGAGAGCGCTGTGATGCAAATTGTATTGGACCAAAATGGTACAACCGATTTCACAGATACATTCAAATACTCTATGAGTCAAATCATCAATGGGCTGCAAGAAATTCAACGACTGGATGACGAAAATGCTAGATTAACTGCAATTTGCGAATTGCAGGAGCATGAGATTGTTCGACTTCAGCAGAGTAGTAACAATGTTCAGGATGTAGTCTGTAGTACCAAACCGCCTAAATCAGAAAATATAAAAACTGAGGGCGATCCCATCAAATCTGATAGTCAAGTCGCGGATATATCTAGTAAAGAGTTGACACTGCATCGAGATGAACTAATGCGCATTCTTGAACTGCTTTCAGATAAAAAACTTGTGCCAAATACGCTCAAGACTTTGCAACCTACTGTAAGTTGATCAATCTTATCCATTTCTTTCTAGACACTAGTTTGTCAGGGTTCATTTGTTTTACTAGACTATTTACTCGATCAATGTTTTTAGAATGACACGACTCTGCTTTTTCGCGGCGACTCTGATGCCACTGTTGCTGTTGAAAGTCGCTCTTCAGTTTTCGAGGTACCAAACACTATTCAGCCTAGTACGGACGTGTTGATTGCTTCTGGTGGACCGCCACCACCACCTCCTCCTCCTCCACCACCTATACCAGGTGGTTTGGGTTGTCCACCTCCTCCTCCTCCAGGATGTGCAGCGCTTCCAGCAGGTAAACTCAATATTTGGGAATTCTTGACCTATGCATAGTATTCAAACAACTCATCACATGTCTTTGTATAGCTCGATTACCAAAATACCGACCCAAGACTCAAGTGAGAAAAATGCACTGGGAACGAGTGATTTCATCTTCGTTTTCATCCGATACTTTGTGGTCAAAAATCAAAGCAAAAGACAGAGATGCCGTTCAGGATCTTTTAAACACCGAGGGAATATTTGCAGAACTCGAGTCCATGTTTTCCATTTCTGGAAATAAAAACACGCGACTTTCTACTGCCTCGAGTGTTAAAAAAGATGCACATCAAGTCTCTCAGTCGGACACTCCAGCCCATCTCAAGATATTTGATGAAAAACGAGCGCAGAATCTTATGATATTCATCAAGTCGCTTAAAACGTATACCCCACAGACACTTATAGCCGCCATTAAGAAATTTGACGAGGTGGGATTAACAGAGGAGCTTGTTTCTCGCTGCATTAAATGTTATCCCACTGAAGACGAAGCAAAATTGCTTCATTCAGTAATGCATCGGACAGATTTACGACAGTCTGAGGAATTTGCAACACGACTTATGAAGGTGTATCGATGCAAGCAACGGCTATCCATCATGAAATTCAAACATGTGTTGAACGAACAGTATAATCCTTTAAAATTGGGACTTCTTAGCACTATGGAAGCATTCAGAGCAGTACTTCAATCATCGTCGCTGCCAAGATTATTGACAGTGATATTGGGGATTGGCAATTTCTTAAACTCGCAAAGTAATCAACAGGCATCTGGATTTAGAGTGACATTTTTGGACAAGATTGTGGATATACGCAGTGTAAATGGTGCAGGATTGTCTGCTATACAAGTGCTGGCAAAAATAGCTCGGACAAGTATGCCCGACTTGGTAGATGTGGTCAATGATCTTCGTATGCTGGATCAAGTCAATCCATCCATGTTGGCGGTTTTTGATACGGATGTCAAGGAAATGCAGCAGGGTTTAAGATTGATCCAAACAGAGTTAAAGTTTACAACTGCAGGCGATGGAGATGCTGGAAAGTCCAAATACGAGCAAAGTGAGGGGTATGATCCTGAATTGGACGGGGTGTTTGTACACAAACTGGGCGAGTGGAGCTTGGAAGTAGAGAAAAAAATCAAATTCTTGGAGACCGAATTGATGACTCTAAACGAAACCATCAAGGCCACGTTTAGGTATTTTGGTGAACCAGATAATTCAAAAATGGGTGCAGACGAATTGGTTACCACGTTGACCAAGTTTTTAAAAGGGTTCGAGGTATAGTTTTTGCCACCATTATAACTGCTCAGAGTTGACATTCAACTGTTTTACCATGTCGACTGACTGATTTACCATGTTTTACATCAACCATTAGATTGCATTGAAAGATATGGATAAAATTCTGGCAGCACCCAAAGACACATCAACACAGCCAGCTAAACCATTGGATTCTGTATCGACACCAGAGCAACTCACATCAAACTCTGCACAAAAAGTGATACCTCAACTTCCAGTGATTGAAGGAATTGGCCATATGGATTCACTTCTTGATAGCCTTAAAGCACGTCCAGCTCTTAACCTCAAAGAAACCGTGAAACGACCCAAACGACGCGATCCGGCAGATTTACCACAACGGCTACGATCACCACTTTTACCTAGATCTGTTGTTGGAGTGTCAGAGTCTGGAGGTGGTGGACCAAAGCGGGTTGGATCTATTACAATGCTAGGTGAAACGGCTTTGGAGCTGTTGGGTGCTCTTGAAGCTTCTTCACCGTCTTTAAAGCCTAGAAAGTATAATGGATTAGCCACTGGAAATGATAAAGTTCGGTTGAAATGATAATTAACGTACAAGCTTTTGTTGATTCTATATAAAATATAATCTAGCGTAAACGCATTTAAATTAAGACTCTAGTTTGCTTTAGATTGTATTTGAGGATTAGAGTGACATTTGAATTTACAGATGAATTGGAAACTAAAACCCATCCAGAAACAATGTCGCTTGTTTATTTTTTAATGGTTATAGGATCAGCAGGTCTCACAGCTAGTCCATGAGCAAGCACATCAAATCCAGCAACATAGAATAATAAATGTTGATTTTACGAACATACACTACAATCAGCCTTTTTTTGCAGGTGCATCAGGAAAGGTGATTCCATCGGCAACCACATGTCGGTAGGTTCTCATTACTCCAACCCAAGGGACAACTTGAAGCTGCAGTGTGAGATTTGCCTTTGAGTTTCTAAAAACAACAAGGATTTTAGATTGAGTTTATACAATAATTGATGCAAGAATAAAACCTACGCCAGCGAATTGGTTAGATCGTGAACTTGGTACTCGTGGCGTTGGTTCTTGAGGACAATGACAGCATCCTCCTTGTCAGAGATTAAATCGTCCCAAATCACAGCTTGATTAACATGATACTGCGAATTGGTAAACTCGACAATTGCTGAAACAAACAGCAGTTTGGTATTCCATTGAAAATAAGATGATAAATCTGACAGTGTATTTTCAGTAGTCCATTGTGAATGAAATAAGAGTTAATCCATGGATAATGTACTATAGATTTCAAACACCAAGAGGTGGATAATTGAGTATGGTGTTCATTGTAACCAGGACATACCAGCATCCAAGTCGAATGAAATGACTCCAAGATTGGTGTAAGGAGATCCGTACATGTAATAGTCACCACCACCGACTCTTCCTGACACACTTTTATACATGAAAAATCAGTCACAGTTGCAATATATCAAAGCATTGACCAGGCTGAATACAACATGCAACACTACATACAGTTTTACCCTGGCAGGTTCAAACGAATTGACAACTATAGCAGACTTGGAGAACACCAGAACCAGTTGAAGCAGAGCAACAAGACTAAACTGAGTTGCCAACACAGTCAGGAAAAACGAAGCAATTGCACTGATTCTGGACTGTAGATCATGCATTGCAGTTGCGAGCCAATTATGAATGTAAAATATTCGAGGTTAAACCAAAGGCAATGAAAAGGCAGAAATCTTGCAACTGATTTCATCAACATCAAAACATTGTTTTTTAGAAGCTCAAATTCCTTAAATTGTACTTTAACAAAATGTTGATTATTAAAAGAACAAGTGATTCTGTCATTCAAATCAACAGTTGTTGATGGTTTGAATCTCTATCATGTCACGCATGCAGCAGTGAGTTTGGAATGTCGAGTCATTCCAAATCATCTCGAATCTTGTTGCAAGATTAAAAATATTACAATGCTCAACAAGAGAATTCAAATAGTTCAAATGCACAGTTTAATTCTTTTTGGCTTCACGAGCAATCTTGGCAAGTGCTCTCTTGCGAATATCCAAGTGCATATCGCATGAAAGTTTCATCAATAGATGTTCGGGAGCAAATCTTTCAAACATCCACGAGACAAAGCCATGTGGAGGATAAGGAGTGCTGTTGATGGAATTACCCACATTTGCCAAGACAGATTGAACATAGAGTTTAGGAGAAGGAGCAAGCCAACTGGCTTTGCGGATCTTGGACATGGCAGTAGCCACAAAATAGGTATTAACGTGTTCAACGTGAATGTTGGATGGTTTGACCTCGAGAGCAAGTGCTTGAGACCAGAAACGAAGAAAAGCCTTTGAACCAGAGTAAACAGAAAGATAAGCAGAAGGAACTTTTCCTGCCATTGAGCCAACATTGATGATGGTTCCTTCCTTGCGAGCCAACATTTGAGGAAGTATTATACGAGTCATGGTCAACTGAGCCATGATATTAACCTGAACGATCGAGTGAACCATGTCACTGGTTTCTTCAACAAAAGAAATAGGAAAGGCATGACTGATGCCAACGTTGTTGATCAGAACAGTGATGTGGAGTGGACGCAAGGCAGCAGCGATGGTGTCGTAGTCGTGGGTTGAGGCGGCAGCATAGTCCACAGGCAAGATCAGTGTTTTTGACAGCGGATCTTGAGTCGAGATAAGATCAGCAACCAGTTTCAATCGATCGACAGACCGAGAGATGAGAACAATATTGTATCCAAGATGAGCAAGCTGCAAAGCAAACTCTTTCCCAATTCCATCCGAAGCTCCAGTAACGACTGCCCAAGGTCTCAGTTTCTTTGAAGGAACAAGTTTTCCTGCCTTGTTCTTCTCTTGTAGTTGCAGTTTGAGTATCGATCCTTTTGAGGCCCAAAAAGAAGAAGGAAGCAATATCAATATCAAATAGTTGGTAAACGACAGTAGAATCTGCACAACAAAGCTGAGTGAAAGTGTGGTTAAAGCAATCACAGTGACAGTAAGGATAGGATGAGCAGTGTATAAGATGAATAAATCATCCGAGAATCCAGTTAACACTGAAATAATCTTTTTTAAAGGTCCAATGAGATACGGGATAAGAAACATCATGATGGTTTGATGATGATTCAATGATGGTTTGATGCTATTCACCAAGTTTATTGGATTCTTGTAAAAATACTTTTTTATTTTGATTATAAAAACTAATCGACATTTTCATTGAAATTCACATTTATTTCAAAATTCAATTTCTTATTTTTGTTGTATTTTAATCTCATATTTGTTAATGATATAAACAAGTAGTTTGCACAATCACTTAATTATATTCTCAATTTAAATTCTTGAAATCTTGTTTTTATTCCATGTCACACATTCTATCCAGTGCTGCTGAAAGATTCGCTTGAATTGCACTCATGTATATGCATGAGATTTTAAGTTCACATTGCTTGCATTCCATTGAATGTATTTGTGCGTCGTGTTCATACTCGTCAATCGCTTCTTGCATCTCTTCTAAAGCCTACAAACATTCAATTGATATACTAGCATGTTGGATCCTGTTTCGTGTTTTATATACAATTCATTCAATAAGTTACCTTTTGCTGAACCTCTAATTCTTTAGATTTGGTTTTCAACTGATTCAACAGTGTTTGATGTCCATCAAATAGTCCAGAATTGGAATCATCAGAGTTTTCAAAATCTTTAGACTCGAGGTGTTCGTCAAACGTACATTTTGATTGGGTGGAAGATCCGTAATTAGAATAGCAACTTGGTGTCGATGTAGATGAACCTGGAAAATTGGATTCACGTTGAGTTGAAATGGTCCCCGCCGTTGTCATATTGCTATGGAGACTCTCTGTACTAGATGTTGGACTATCACTTGCATGCATGTGTGACCTTGTCTTGCTACTCTTGCTATTTTCACAATCACATGTTTTGCACGAGTTTGTTTTCTGATGAACAGAACTCCAGCCCAGCGCATCCACAGATACTGTAGATTTAGACTGTACTGGAGCAGCATAGATCAATTTAGAATATGCAGCAATAAATGCTTTGAAATAAGAACTGTCCCATTCAAGCACTTCGTCCACATAGCTGATTAATTCAACTGACACGTCTTGTTTCCATCCATTTGAAAGACTACGAATGAATAATGCTGCTGCCGAAGGTGGTTCTGCGTGGATAAGATATGCTGTACACATGGCTGTTTGTGGATTAAGTGGCCATTCTCGACATAGAATTGCAAACACACATCCAGCAAGATCTGGTAACCAATCAGAAAAAATCATGACAAGGAGTCTAGCTGTGTTGTGTACACTCCATCCTTGAATAATCCAATTCAGTGCTTTTGCCACTTGCTTGGGTTGATACTCTTTGACAAGACGAGCAAGCTTTTGTCCGGATATCTCAATGTTGCTTTCCGATCGAATAAAATCATAAAAGGATGCACTATAAAGCGTATCCATCGCCTGCATGCTCCAATCAATGTCAATATGTGCATACTCGTCTGTCCAACGCTGCGACATGGATGGGTTGGGTGAAGATGGCAAACTGGGAGAACTCCCAACTAAATCCAATGTAGAACTTGCGGATGAGGATGCTAGTGAGGGCATACGCGACATGGATGCTGGCAAAACAAGATTTGGTATTGGTATTGGTGTTGATGTGCAATCAGGTAGTCTCATATCTGCTGATGCTAAAGATGGTTGACAAAGATTTGTAATACCGCGTACTAATGGTTGTTGACTTGTGGAGTTTCTGCGACTAGTCTGGCAGCCATGTGATTCGCATTCAACAAGATGTGTCGTTTCTATAGTGTTTTGAATATCTTGCGCTTCATGCAAGTTTGGTTCTGTTTTGTAAGTTTCACACAATGGTTGCGATGGCGGATCTGTTCCTGTCAATGAACCAAGACCGAGTTCAGACAAACTCTGGAGCTGTTGCACTGGTAAACTAGCGTGTTCAATACGATGAGCATTTGACACCATATCAGATACGGCAAAAACTTGCTGTCTTGCATGTGATGCTGCCAAGGTTTCTGACGATGATGCGGTGGATTCATTTGGCTGTAGATTGGGCAAAGATGAACCATAGGTGGGCAACAAGTTCGAAGAAGATAAAAAGGTTGGTTGAAAAACTTGATTGCCAGCCATATCATTTAGTGACTGCGACGCAGTAATATTTTCTACTGCATCCGATTCTTGTCGAGCCACGCTAGATGTATTTTCGTTTGATTCAACCGATTGTAGAATGGTGATAAGACGAAAAAGAGGACTGTCGAACGTTCCTGGAAAAAACTGCTTTTGTGATCGTAGTGGATATGGGTCAATCACTTTATCCTTGTCCTTGAGTGCTTGATACTCTGCATCTTCTTGAATAGAATGAAGGATACTGACGAGCGTCGCCATTCGCAATCTACCTGCTCTCATTTTTATGCAGTTTGTCAATCAAAAATGATGGCAAGGTTTTAAATATATACTAGACACTGATGTTGAAGTGGATGATATGTAGTAATTTAATACTCTACATACTATGACTTGAAGTGCAATTCAAGACGTATCCACTCCAAGTGAACCGTGGATTACTTGGAGTGGATGACTGCATACACGTGGACTCGTTTCGCGTATCAACGAGTACTCGAGGTAAAACCTCGTTTCAAGCAGTTTGTAATATACATCTCCACCCGAGTGTGCATTTAACTTTAAGACATAGTATGAACAGTTGAAATATAGTTGTTTTTTCAGTATAAGTTGCTTTGTAATAGATTGTTGAATGTCACTTATAGTTTACCTTGTGAATACACCATACTCGACTACTCAGTCTATCAAGGTTAGATGTCCAATAGCTTAAATGATAGAACCAAGTGTTGTTTTAAACTCATTGTTGCATGGGCACCACATGCACATTTATTTGACTCATGAAATATTCAAAATGAATGGAAAGCACATTAACAAGTCGATTATATTGGCGCTATAATAGCAATCTGTAGATGAGCCAAGCAGAAAACGTATGCTTTTTCTACTACTATTTCTAACCCCATCCATCCACCATTGATGATGTGCTTTAAAATTTGGTCATTTACATACTTGTTCAATTACAACTATATTCACGTAAAATGGAACATCAAAGTCGGAATGGATGATAAACAGTCATGTTTGATTAGTGTCAAACTTACTGGACAATATTGTTTTATGAACTCATTAGTTGACTGATCTTGATGCTCGTTTTTGTACAAAAATACAAAACAAATGTTTACATCTTTTCCAATACATTTCACACCTATTAGAATACAACAGAGTTTCAATAAAAGAAATAATCAACAACAATGAATGTTTATTGTTTATTCCAAGACCATCATTACAAGATCAATACAAAAAAATCATTTTACGCGAATATGGATGTAAAATATTTGACACATTTTGGCAAAACAATTATCAAGATGTGCGCAAGTCGATTCCTAAATGCAAGCATCGACTGCTGTTGGACTGATACTAGAGTTCTTGCCATGCTACATAAATATCAATGCAGGAACTTGGTAGGTCTGTATTGAGCCATCAAAAATTAAACAATTGCATTTAATTCTAGCACAGACCTGTGATGACTTTAGTTATTAGTAACATCGTTTATTGAAAAAAGTTGAAGTACTTGATGCATTCCTTTTGCAATTCCTTGACATTAGGAGTAGATCCAACAGTGAATTTGGGTCGCCAGTGATGCTCCTTTACAGAATCAAATGGGAGTTGCAGATGATATGGTCTGAACCCTTTGCGATACAGAAATCCAGATAGAAAAACATCGTCATGGACTACACATCCATGCGGCACACCTGTCAAGTCAAAGATGCTGTCATCAAACATGCCTACACGATACATGATGCCTTTGTATGCACATGCCCATCCCTTGCATTCCCTGTCGTCAGTTATATAACTCCAACTGTTCTTCAAAAAACCAACCAGTTCCTCGCACGCTACTGCAATAAAATGAGTTGGATGCTCTCTGTAACCACGATACAGTTCGCTCATTGTATCATTGTGATACTCGGTATCGTCATCCACAGTCACAATCAGCGTATCTGGCTCACGCTCAATCTTGAGTGTTCCAAGAAGCTTTGTGGCTGGACCGTAGTCCTTGCCTCGTAGAATATGCAACTTGCTACCAAACTTGACCTTCAACTCCTCAATGTTCTTGCTCAGCTCGACTTCGTCAATAGTGAGGTTGAATCTTTCAATTTTATCTGGAATATGAATGTAAATGGCATCTAGAGAAAGGGACTGTGCAAAGAGTGATCCAAGCGAAAGCCGAACTTGCTCCATGCGTCCTGGGAAAGTGGATAGAGATGCAACTATGCGAGGTTTAACATGTTGGTCAGAGTGTGTTCTGTTGACTGTTGCAGGTTGTAATGCCAATGTGTCTGAAGACGTTGGCAAGTACATATTGCTATTGAGCAAGACCATCGATACTGCAATCATAAGTAGAGCAACTGCTACTGCAGTCAGCATACACACCTTGAAATGCTGAGGCTTTAACATTCCGACAAATAGCATGAGTGCTGAATCCAGTTGTAGTGTTTTCAAACTTTAAACAGTATCAATGCATGGATGAACTCGCTCAAATCTTTATTATTTGTAGTTCAACTCTGATTTCACAACCAAATTATATTTCCAAAGACTTGTGCAATATCGCCAATCCAATTGAGATTCTGATCAAATAATTGGCTTTATAGTATTGTCAGAATAAACGATCAAAATCTACGTTTATGTCCATGAAATCTGTTGCTGGAGTTGAGTTCTGAACGCTCTGATGAACTGTTTGGCTATTAAAAGCACTTTGCATAATAATGTTCAACTATAAGACGATCAATGCTATTCTTTATTGATAAATAACCAGTTTTATTATTGTGCCTATTTAACAGGTTTTCTATCGTTTTTGACATTACACAATGTGTTTGACATATGCATTGATACACTTTAAACGGATACTTTATTTGTTGCAGTCGCTATATATGTTGATGATATTGATACCAAGTGATGATTGTGCATTGCTAGATTTGATCAAGTCGCGACTGTTCAAGGTATTTTCAAACATTTTGAACCAATACATACATGTTTCAACATCAAACTTGACCGATATCGTGTCAATCGGACACCACTTTAATGATGTACTATCAATGTTTGGAATGTGTGGTTGCAGACTGCTTCACATTGTAATTGAATCAAAACTATAGTCGGAAGTAGCTGGAAAAGGTGAGTTTACCACGACTCGGTCTGATCGTGAAGCAGTCCAATTACTAGTGTATGCAATGGTTTCAAGATACTCGGACTTACAAACAGCTGTTGAACAGCTGTCAAACAAGCGTCGATGTTGATACATAACCCAGCTAACAAAAAATGTGTAACCATTGTATATTGCAATGCATAATACAGTCATTGCAGGATGAATACAAATGATCCATTTTATATGAATACGACTGTTAATACACCACTACCAATATCATGCTGCATACATTACATTGCAAACTGATGGAACACTAATTGACCAATATCGAAGTAGTTGATGGCACAATCTACATCCGACCTTGAACAAATGTATTGCTCCGTTTGTTGTACAATACACAACATGATCAGTTGGTGGTATCATGCAACTGACAAGTGATTGCAAGTATGACTGATAGTTACAATCAACACTGGTTGTTACCGGATCATTGATGTATATAGTTCAAACCATGTCAATGTATCAATCAACAATCCAATAACTGTTGATATAATACCCAACACAGTACACACAATCAATGATATGATTGTTGACCCATTCACAATACTCGATAAATACCAACACATCAGAAAGTTTAAATTTATTCAAAATCAAATTGGTTGGCATATCATCAATCTGAATCTGAATCTGCTTTCGGTTCTTCAGCGTCAGAGAGCGACTCTACATATTTCAAACTACGACTTTCCATAAACGTTTTCAATTGTTCTTTGATACCGACTATTAATTTTCTTACTTCTTTATAATCTTTTCTCGAATCCTTTATAGTTCTTGGGGTGTAATTTGGGTCATGCACATGTCCCTCTTTTTCTAATACTCCACATTCTTTAAGTTGATAAGCTATACCCTCACAATATTTTTTGGTCGTGTCCTTTTCCATTTCTTCAAGCTCTTCAAGTCTTTTCTTTATACAATTAAGGACTTTCTGGTCTTTTTTGCTTAATACAACCGCTTGACTTGAAACAGTATTGCCCGACTCTCCTTTGTTCATTGGTTGTTTCCGACTTCGTTTTGGAGCACTTGGACCGGGTTGATACATTGGTTGTTTATGGTCTGGATCGAGAGTGCTTGAACCAGGCCTACCGCTTGGGCGTTTTCGAATTCGTTTTCGAATTCGTTTTGGAGCACTTGGACCAGTTCTATGCAACAAGTATTGCTGGCCTTGTCTGGAAGTGCCTGGTTCAGGTTCATTGGTTGGGCCAGACACTTGACTGGAAGTGCTTGATGCCTGGACTGAATCATTGCCGTTATCTGAAACCAGTATTGCATTAGCGGTTGCTGCTGCGGTCAGTAAGAATAAAATGTCAATGAACTTCATTAGATTGGTGGATGGGTTTAAAAGATTGTTAGATGGGCAGATTGTTAATTATGAAACTGGAACACTCGATCGTATTTATATTTTTATATAGTAAACCAACCCTAACCCTTTTAGGTTAACCAACGACACAGGGTTACTTGATTGTTTGTAGTGGGTTACTATCAAACTAGACAATATGCTGCTCCCTATCCACAATATCATATTGACCAATTTGATTTCGCGTCAATTGAACTATGCTTTTACGACCCTTTGATCAGGTATATTGAAAAGCACCCTTCATGAGTGTTGTGTAGCCGCAAACGCTCCTTTTTACAACTGTACTCATGTCAAATGGATCACTCCAGTATTCATTGTGCAATGATTGTGTTATGCATTGCAACATACAATGGTTGCATATTCGGTTGGTTGTCACTACGCATTGACTGTATTGCGTGTTTGATATACAACAACCACCATATGACACGCAATCAGACTATAATGCTGAATCTACATTATGTGCACTCTTAGTAATCATACATTGCACAATCACCAAGTTTGAACCCACATTCATGTATTGTGTTTGACTGTCGATGTTGTCAATACAACTCTGTACACACATTTGTTGTATTCTGAATCACAGATACGATTGCAATCTAGTTCAACAACAATCATGATACATGTCAGTAATGCAACCATGCATGTCAATCACCACCAACAACACCACTGTATTGTCAACCAGTCCATGACACTGGCTGTTTATCACACACCAACACTGTTATTTAGTGGTCCATTTACATCAATATGGCTGCAAGTTGTTGTTATATCACGTATTCTGGACATGGTTTTAATATTGCACATCCAGTTCCATCACATTGTTGTTGACCCATCATTGTAACGATGTATGTATCCAACACTGGCATATACTCATAACCACAACCAGTAAAACGACACTCGAGTTGTTTACTGTGATCAGTATATGCAGCCCAGTGTGACTACACATACTGGATTCAGTCTGTTGATTGTTCCAGTTGACCTTGATTCACTTTTGACGTTTTGTTCGAGATTGACAATACAAATGTGTCAAGCTGAACCCAAACTACACGACTTGACTGTTCATGTCAATTGGATCGTGATCGAGCTATGTGATCATGATGTGTATTCAATCAATACCATGCATTACCAATATAATAGCATGCGTGATCATCGTGTATCAAACAACTACGATGCACACTGGACTGATCCAATACATGCACGGCTTGAACATATCACACAATCAAACATGAACACACCACATTAAATATACATATAATATCAGTTTGTCACTAATGAATTGTATTCAATCGAGTTTATTGATAGTCTGTTTGCGACTCTTGACAGCGTGGTGAGTGTTTTCAGACACGACTCTTTGATCAGTTGTAGTTGTTGATTAACACCAAGAGTCCTGACATACATCATATCAACTATAAGACAATCAGAATCATCATTCATTCAACAAATAACCAGTTTTATTGATATATCTGTTTGGCCATCAAGCTTTCTTGTGAGTGGCCTTTGAATGCTTACTACCACGGAGAGTATTACCAAGTTGCGACAATGATCTCCTGAGAGTAGATGTGAGATCTGAACTTGAAGTACTTGGTTGTTCAGGCAATCTAACAGTATTCATCAAATTCATGATCAATATCAATCGATACACCCACACATCAATATCAAGCAACTTACTGTGATGGTGACCAGAGCACTTCATGACCGTTTGAAATAATAGGATAACCATCAGCCATGACTTCACATCCACATCCAGGACCAAATCCAATGCGTGCATTTTGTAAATCAAATGTGACTATAAGTCGGTTCATAAATGGTATACCAAGAATTGCATTGTCACTTGGACCAACTTCTACAGAAAACAGGTCTATAATCCAACATGTATATTAGTCAGGTTAATCAAACAACACATATTGCATACAATTGTCAAATATTTACAATTTTTAGAATCAATTCTCTTTAGATAGTCTTTGGGACCCAATTTGATTGCTACAACAGAGTTGCGATTGTCATCAGTTACGGGAGTTTCAGAATACATTACGATTGTGAGTGACGGCAGCTTGTTCCATTCGATATTAAAACTGGATTTGGGCATTGGATAGTGTTTCCAAAATATGTTATCAATATCTTCCGGGCTGAGCTTGCGCTTAAGCATACTATTCTTGGCAGTGATCGCACCACTATCAAGAATAGCGTCAACCAATGCTGTCACGACTACTTCAGGAAAACGCATATATACAAAGCATGTATGTATATATGAATACAAAGTACGTCCGTTTTCCACAACTTGCTGAAATCTCTCGGGCAGTTCCACTTGTTCGTCATCGACTAGTATAATTCTGATGTTGACAGTATGGCGATCGGTTGTTGGTGAGTTTACCCATGCAACACTTGTTCCATCTGTTCCGCATTTTGCAGTTACGTCCGTGTTTCCTATATTGATGAAGCTATTTGAAGTCATGCCATACGGACATAGTTGAATTCCAATCTCGTTATTGGGAATGGTACCACCATTGTACAAACTATCCAACACAGTGATTTGTGGACGACGCTTTGACAACGAGGGATAACCAATCCCAAATACTCCATCAAAATTTGGACTGATACCAACTATATCTGGCGATTGTTTTTCAACTGCTACTACTGGTAACCCAATGCCAGTTATTTCGGTACCCGGAATCGTCACAGTGGCTGTGAAACTAATTCCTCTATACTCTTTGCCTTTGTAATCTATAGTAACGTGTCTCCCACTTATAATACTTAGTATATCCAAACCTGCATTGTTTTTTGGAGTAGGATATGGTACGATCGTATCAGAAATTGATGAATCGACATATAAACCCAACTGTTTTAAACAAGTGTGAGATTGATTAAACGTGGTGCAAATTGATATCAAACTACAATAAATGACATGATACATACATCGATTCCATAAATATTGAATTTCATTGTGTAACATCTGTTAGCATCACGGCTCAGTTCAACAGGTGATCGTTTTGACAGCCTATTGTTTGATGGACTGTCAATTCCAATCGGTGAATGTAATGAAACTCGAACTGCAGCAACCGCTTGTAACGCAAGTATAACGCATTCTAGAGTAATCAACATTGTATAGAGTAGTGTGATGAAAGTGTTTTGGATCTGATACATGACTGTCGTTTTATAATGACGGTAACTTCAAGGGCGGCAATCGGCACTTTTCAAACGGATATTTATAAAAAACGCCAAAGCACCATGCAGGGTCAACAAAGCCAAAAACACTCTGTAGGGTGAATCGATATACAAGCATCGCTGTTGGTGGAAAATCAACCTCGGTAGTATTCTGTGTTGATCTCTTCGATTGCGGTCATGTATCCAGTGATCGGATAGTGTCAGATCATTACCCTGATTATGGATAATTATCATCACATATACAATCCATTACTACAACATATACTGACACTGTATACCAAATATTTGACTGATTGTTCAATTGGTCATGGTTTTGATTTGTCCGAGTGATTCAAACCATGTCAAAATGGTTGTTGAAATATAAATATATATCATCCAAAGTTGATTCAGATTGTCGCTAGCTGTAATCTGTTGATCTGTCAATGTGTGACCATGTGTCAATGCACACAGTAAACTTGAAACCAACTTGCATAATTGTCAATGTTCAAATCAAAACCGCAAAGTTTCATTCTATTTATCATTGTTCATTGTTTATGGCTCATGGCTCATGGATAGCTGATCAATAAATCACATTCGACATGATTGACATGATTGTTTTGTTGGACATATTTCAGTAGATTTGTTTAGTTACGATTTCAATCAACTCAACAGCTTTGGAAATAACAGTGGTAGCGTAGTAAATGGTTTTAATAGCAACAATTCATATCGATTTTGCAAGATTCATATTTTTGATGTAGAAAATCATGGTTTGTAACAACTATTTGTTGTGTATACATCATAAACTATCAACCATTTGGTCATGCATCAACACCAATGTACAGTGTGACATGGTATGTTGAATAGATTCAATGTTGATTCAATATTCCCAATATTCCCAATACTATAAACAACATATGGACACCAAATAATACCAGTTTTTCAACCGATATTCACAACTAAATTAGTCAGACTATTTATCCAAGATGTGCAACTCAGACCAAACATCATGTGTACAATGGTGGATGGTTTGCATGTTTGAATAATGGACAACGTTCAGTGCTAGATTCATATCCAATGTAAATCATCAAGTGATGGCAGGGTTTTCAACAAATAGTTTCGATTACATTTTGACCAATAGCAAGTGTTGATTGGAGGTGATCATCAATCAACAATCATGGACAAAACTCGTTCAACTATATAGTGGATGAATGTAACATTGCATGATTGTCTACTTATCAGTGATATGTATATTAATGACATGAACAAACAAATGTATGATATCATTAGTACAGGTTTTGATCAAGGTTTTGAAAATCAACTTCAAGTCTTTGCGCCAGGTTGTCATAATCTTGAATGACTGATGACTGTCAGTGCAATATTCCTGCTCAATACGTTTATGGACACGGTAGTTTCAGGAAATCATTGCATGATTGGTTACTTTGACATGTTGGATTTACATGGTACTCAATGGTATGATTGATAGGTCAATTGGCAATTGTTTCGTGTTTTTAGTCATTTATTTGCCTGCAATAAAAGCGGCTTGATCTCATATACCAGGAGTTTGACAAAAATACAAGACTCATTGTCATGACACTATTTCAAGAGTAGTCATTGCACATTGGTGTTCACCAGACAAACAAACCATCGAGTATAGCGTATTTTTCAATTTTCAGTTTTTGGCATTCAGGTTTGGGTTTTGATCAATCGTTGAACCAAGACTAAATCATCATTGGTCGTTACGGCTGGCCAAACAAGCTTACTCGATAAATATTACAAATCATATAACCCAAATCATCAAAATCACTCCAAACTGCTGACAAGTCATTGACAAGTCACCGCCAAGTTGGTTGTTGCTAATTCATCAGTGTTGGCAGCTACAATAATCAATCAACATATGTTTTGAAAATTGTTTTGAAAATCGATTCGCACAATCTGCACAACTTTTGGACGAGTCATGATCCAAGATACTATCGCTGTTGGTTTTGATGTTATAACCAATTCAATGCCACATCCAAATGTTTTCAAAATCATCCAAAAACTATTGTGTTGACAAGCATGTATATTGGCATTGATTCCATTGTAAAAATAGTCGTATAGTTTAGAGTGATTGCTCGCGAGGTCAACAATATCACCACATTCACGAAATGGAACTTTTACAAAGCTACAAATCATATACTGCATGCATGTCGTTGGCATCGAGTCTGTGATTGTTGAACAGTGTTATTGTCTTGATTGTAGTCAGTCCACCAAATCCAAAATGTGTTGGGTTTGAAAATACTTTATATTTTCAAAATCATTGATCTGACAATTAGGTCGCATCTTGTTGAATCCCAGCCTGAATATTTGACACCAGCTGTTGCGATTGCATCCAATAAACTAGCATTGATGCTTGTATCATGAATACCCTGAATATCAGTCATGGCATTATCCATACATATACATAGTATGTTTGGTGGCAATTTGTATCCAAATGCAATTTTGGATTTGGCATTGTCATGCAGTCAAACCATGTTTTTTGCAAAACATCGGTAAAGGATTGGTAAACATGCGGATCTCAACCACAAATCGTTCAAAAGTTACAAATACAAGTCATCAAAAAATGTATATCGTTGTCATCAGACAATTTACCATCACACTGCACGACACTTGTACAAAGTTTGTTGGACAAAACTTGGTTGATATCTAGGATACGGTTGAAACTGACAAGCATGTGTGTTCATATTGTCACCAGTGTTGTATTTGATATTCAATCAGTGTGTATTACACTGTCTGACCAATATTAACCACACTACACTAAATAATCAAATGCCAAACAATCTGTAAACAGAGCAAGACACCACTCTAATTCATTATTTGCCACAAACTACCGACTGATCAAGTGTCGTTGAGATATATAACACACTATCAAGACGTGTAATATGTCGAGTTGCAACAACACTAAATACATAATAAATGCATAAATGTCCATTTTTAATGGTATTGGCTGTTGTATAATGGCTTGAGCAACTTTTTAAACAGCGAAATTGATGTTCAACATTGTTGCGCAAGCCATTTCAACACAAACGCATTTCCAAGCCAACCCATATTAATAACTGTATCAGTTGTATCAGCTGTAAACCATACTGTAAAATGATGCTATGTTTGGCATGTATTTGACATGTACATGTTGTACATTTTCGATTGCCATTTCATGTATTGGATTATCAGCATAATAAGCGCAGTATTTCAGTCATTCAGATTCCTTGTTTTGGGAATGATCATTTCTGTATCATTTTTTGCTGAAATGATAATCAGTGTGTCATTGTGAATTACTGTTTGAACCAAAGTCAGTACTGCAAGCACTCGAGTGCTACTCTAATCAATTGAGTTGAACTGACATTGGTATTGATATCAGCAAGAAATCCAACTGATTTCCAAATTGAACGAATTGATTCCAAAATATTGTTATCCACAAACATAAATGTCAATTGCAACACTTTTATCAAATCTATTGGATATCAAATCCAGTAACCCATTGTAACAAGCCTTGAATTATGTCTCGGAACAATGCAGCCATGACAAAATATAACATTTTACCAGGTTTGCTGTATACAACAACATATATTTGGAGCAGAGTTTGAACATATAGTTGCGCAGTTATTTGAAGTTTGTGTGTTTCTAGTATCATACCCAAAATGTGTGTTATTCCATCATCAATAATTTGCTCACAATACACTAACACTATTACTACACAATCAGTTGTCAATGACCATGAGTAGTATATGTAGTGCACTGGATGATACCACTTGTTTTAAGCAAGACTGCTAAAATATTCAAAAGTTGACGACATACTTTGATACATTCGTACATGATGATTGTGATTGATATTGAACGCATTTGGGTTGTGGTTGCAATGTGAATTCTGGTTTTAGAACTAATCAGAATCGGATTGTCTGGAATTGCCTGGAATTGTTGTTGTGCTAGATTGGTGTTTTCACCTATAATCACTGCTAAATTTGATTCAAAGTTGTCAGGTGTGATATCCTGACAAATGCCGACATTATCAAAATGCTTACCGTATACAAGTTGATTAAAGTTGCAAGTTGTCTGCCAAACTCATACTTGATGCTTCAATCGGACACGATTAGATGGTACAAGGATGTGTCAACAGAGCCATTATTTGTCAAAAAGCGTATGTTACAATAGTAAACTTGAATTTGGAACTTTCCATGCTAAATGCATATCAATCCCTTGAATGGACACAATTGTATGATGCCAGTTGTATTAACAACATTGAATTATCAAATAATTGGAACAATTGGAATGATTGAAAATATGCCATTTCAGTTGTAAAATACAACTACCACTTTCTACTCTTCAAATCTGGTTGTATTAGTGGGAGTTGTATAACGTATTGCTTCAATCCATGAATGGGTTGTATCTGCTCTGTGCCATCAATTGGTTTGAAACTCTGCTTTTTGAACCCTTTAAACCGATGAGGCGGAACCACAAAATAAAGTTTGGGTTCATCATACAAACTGCACAGTTTTGTAAGAATATCAACTCCACAAATAGGATGTTCAGCAACAGCTGTAAATTGGAACATTCCCTGTCGACTGAGTGAATCAATTGCTGCAAAATTATCGTCATCTGTCGGTTCGTAATAGTTGCCATCAAGTGCTGCAGCAGTAGGGATAGTATTTATTCCAAATGTAATTCGTTGGCCATTGAGTGCATCCAAAGTAATATCTGTCACTGTACCATCTTCCAGGCATCTGCATTTGAGAGTTTGTCCACCAGTACAAAAAACCACATGTCCGTATATTTCAAACAAATGTCTTGAAATTTTGGTTGGAATACTACCAAACATTTGCTGCAGATTGGTAATCATTTGAGCAGAATGACGTTTCCAAAGCTGTTCTCCAATATATCTTGAAGCAATATCAACATGCAGGAATCTGTACTGTCCGTCGTCCGACACAATGGTATGAAGCAATGTATGAGTATTTGCAGATATTTTGATTGTGATTCCAATGTTTCGTACTCCTTTGACTGCATCAACATCAGCCAAAGCTTTCTCCATTGGATTTGATACAATATCAAAAACAGAACGAGCTACACCACCATACATGCGATATCTCTCATTGATAGTCCCAATGGGTACATCCGGATAGCAATGACGTCGACAAGTCTGTAACTCATTCAAAGTCCAAACAGGAAAATACCATTCCCTTGCCATCTTTTGTTTGACGAACTCCTTGTATCCTTCAGACTGAGGAGATGACATGAACAATACAATGCAACATGATGACATTGCAGTCATGTGTCCATCAACAATATACAATGTGTCTTGTTTCCAAACAATATTGGCCACTTCAAGTCCAAGTTCTGTGACGAGTTGTTGCTGCAAGTCAAAGCATTTGTACGAGGATCCCACTTGATGAACAATCCGGTTTGGCTTCAAGGACAGACTTTTCGTGGTAAAGTCATCCATCAAGCGATGCAATATGTAGACAAAAAACAGTGACTTTCCGATGCCTGATGTTCCAGATATTGCAAATGATTCCATGCCACAATCAATTTGATCCAAAAGCAAGCCAAACACATCATGATAGCACTCTCTAACATATAGTTTTTGTATTTTGTCTTGGGTGTATGGGAAAAGGACATGATCTGTCGACTGTATGCATTCATCGATCAGCTGGGCGTTTGCAAACGACTTGAATTGGGTTGTCAAAACATTGGGTTCGGTACGTTGTCGTTTAGGAGAAAAGTCTTGATGGTTTGCTGTTGATAAAGAAGTAGAACCTGCATCAAAAATGGCACTTTTGCTTGGTTTCCTGGTAGGTAGAGGTAAACAACCAATAACAACACAAAAACCATCTTGAGTAAAGTATTCTTGAGGAAGGGAGTCGAGTAAAGCCCATTTGCTGATTAGTTGGTCCTTGTTACTGTTGGTGTATAGCTGGAGTTGAGGAGCATCGATGTCAGCCATAACAGGACCATACTCTGCCTTGATAGCATCCTGAACGTCACTCGGGTCTTCAAAGTCAGTCACATCGATTTCAGTAGAAATAGTGTCGTATTCAACATTGAGGTATCGTTTTGGCATTTTATGAAAAGAAAAAGAGTAAAAAAGCAATTTATTTGTCAAATTGTAAAACAAAAATCGACTTTTTAATCGAGTCAAAATAACAAAATTTTGGGATATTTCAAGACAATTCACACGATTTAAATATTTGGAAATTAGTCAAATTTACACCAGAATTAATGTCTCATTAATGTGAGACATTACTAGTGTGAGAGTGTTGACTTGCATTGTGTGAGACATTAGTAGTGTGTGAATGTGAGACATTTCTGAATAGTTTAACAATCAAAAACCAACAACAATGACGTTTGAACTGGAATTCACATGACTTTCTTGTCTCCTATTTTATAAACACACTCACTTCCTTGTTAATAAACAACGCAATCGAATATTGATTCATTCCATCACATCTTCAATCAACTGCAACACACTTGACAATAATGACAACCATCAATATGCCATCATATGTTCACGATCCTCAAATTCAAAAGTCAATTTGAAAACCCATTTTTAAGCATCTACAAGTCTGCAATATCAGATTTGTGGTTGGTACATAATAGGTTGCCAATAAAAGTCGACAAATTGAGCAACTGCAATGTGCCTTGCTGTATGATAGTAACATATCAGAAACTATGAATGCTTTCAAAACCAAAAGTCTGCAAACGATGTCACTGCTGGCTTGTAGTCTCTGTTTACAAACCTACAATCGACATATTCACTGGATTCGTATAATGGTAAATGCTGAACCACAAACCGCTGATGATATTATTATGGACAATGCTCATATTATTGGAAATCAAACGATTGGTGCAGTTTCAGATGCTGTTTCATCACACAGAAAGTCTTGCTACAGAGTCTGAATACAATAGCAGTGAATCTGCAGTTTGACCCAACACAGTCAATAATTATCGTTTCAAACTCGAATCAAGTGATGATGTTGCTGTTTCAGATGCACTCAATGTCATCAATGCAGTAACATTGAAACCAACTCAAATCATTGATCATGAACCAATTTACCGTGTCTTGATAAAAACACTGATAAACCATTATTCATACATGAACTTGTCAAAAGTATGAACTGATTGCTGACCAGATGTTTAAAGTGGAACTCAAAACAGTGCAACTCAATGTGCAGCTTTACCACAACTTTCCCGCTACAAAAAATACAGTCTTGGAACTCAAAGTGTACATCAACAATACTTGTGTGTATCGACCATCAATGATGTTGTTGGTGTAGCATACACAATGTGCATTGCATAAACGCTTGTTTGTTTGCTGGAGCTATTTCAAGCAAGCAAAAATACTAAAAGGTTCAGTTTGATGAATGTCTGGTGTATATTTACAATGAATTCAAACTCGAGAGATTGTCGTATTTTGCATACAAGACATACTACAATATATTACAACAATATCGTGTATTTCAATATGCACCCATTCGATTTACAACAGTGGCATAAACATCATCACATTTGAACAATGGTTCAGTCGTACAAAGTCCAATAACAGCCATGAATTGTATCAGACATGAACATACTGGTGCAAAATTCACATCAAATAACACACCGCAACAAACATGTTTCTGGTAGATGGCGGAATTGATGTCATTGATTTTCAATTACACGATATTGATGTTGAATGATTCAATAAACTATACTCATCGACTTTGTGTACTTTTTTTCAGTTGCATCGTTTCTGATTCCGAGTTTGAAGCATAATAGTTGCGACAGCGCTGTTGTCCAATTTGCTTGTTTTGTGAATAGTAATCATGATACCACTTGTTTGACGCTTCCTGTTGTTGAACTGGATATGGATGTCAAATTTGGATGCCAAATTTGGATGCATTGCAAGTAATTGTTGTAGTTTTTGATCGAGTCAATGAATGGCATTTATAGTTGCTCTAGAAAACAAGTTGTTTGAAATGTCCTGTCATATGCCATATGTTTTGTTGTTTTCATGTTCACTAATTGTTGATAATGCATCCAATTGACTTCTGTTTTGACGCTGCTTATTTGTCATTGTTGGATCTGGGTTTCTAGATTCAGTAACAAACGTTTCAGCAATTTGGATGTGTTCAAATTCATAATACTTGCAAGTCTGAATCATTTGATCATCATCTGAAATTGGATACGAGTAATCATTTCCACTAACCACAGTATACATAGTATACACAGCATTACTGTATATTGACTTGTATTTTACTCAAAGGTTTGTCCATTCAGTATTCCAACACAATTTCCAACATTGATTGAATGGTTTGTAGTGTTTGTTTTAATTGAACCACTTGATGGATCACTTTCATATCTTGATTCAGCAATATCACCAACTGCACAATGATGTATGTGATTGTAGTCAAACACAATATGTTGCAAGGCATTAACGTATTGGTTAGTTTTAGTATATTCTTGATAAAATGCAATGATGTTTTGTAATGACGTGTTGAATCCTTCAATCAAACATTGTCTGTTGTGATTTCCAACATTGACAGTGACATGGCAAACACCTTTTGCTTGTGACAGACTTTGAACAAGTGTATTGCTCTGTTTGTTGTACAATGCACGACATGGTCAGTTGGTGATATCATGCAAGTATGACTGCTAGTTACAATCAACACTGGTTGTTATCAGGTCATTGATGTATATGGAACAAACCATGTCAATGTATCAATCAACAATCCAGTAACTGTCGATGTAATACCAAACACAGTATACAGTCAATGATATGGTTGTTGATCCATTCACAATATTCTATAAATATCAACACACCAGAAAGTTTAAATTTATTCAAAACCAAATTCATTGACATCATCAATCTGGATCTGATTCTTCGAATTTCAAACCACGCCTTTTCATAAAATCCTTCAAATCTCGTCTGATATCGGGTACTTTTATCCTTGCCGCTACATACTCTTGTTTCAACTTCTTTTGAACCTCTGGATCGTATCTTGATCCAGATATTTCTTTGCCCATTGCTAACGTCATTTGTTGTTCAAATTCAAGGTCTACATACCTACGATATTCTTGCCATTTTTCGTCTCGTATTATTTTAGACGCTTCAAGCTTTTTCTTTATACGATTAAAGGTTCTCTGATCTTTTTCGTTTAATCCAGTCACTTGATTTGAAACAGTGTTGACAGACTCGTCTTGTTCCATTGGTTGTTGTTGGTCTTGACTGGAAGTGCTTGGATTAATTATAACAAATAGTGGTATCCAATATTTACCAGAAGTGCTTGGATTGGGTTGATCAACTGAGTCTTGACTGGGAATATTTGGATTAATTATATCAAATAATGGTTTCCAGTATTTGCCAGAAGTACTTTGATTGGGTTCATTAATTGAACCAGGCGCTTGACTGGAAGTACTTGGCCTGGTTTTATTGATTGGCCGTTTCCGACTTTGTTTGGAAGTACTTGGCCTGGTTTTATTGATTGGCCGTTTCCGACTTCGTTTGGAAGTGCTCGGACTGGACTGATCAATCGACTGTTGCTGATCTTTGTTGGGAATATTTAAATCAGTTGCATCCATTAGGTGTTGCTGGGTTTGATCGGAAGCACTTGAACTGAGTTGATCAGCTGGTTGTTGGTATTTGTCAAAAGTGTTTGGACCGACTTGATCAATTGGGTCAGAAACTTGACTGGGAGTATTTAAACCAGCTATATCAAACAGTTCTTTCCATTCTTCAAAAGTGTCTGAATTGACTTCATCTATTAAGCGTTGCCAGTATTTGTCAGGGATGTCTAGACCGGGTTCATCAGTTGATTGTTTCCGACTTTGTTTGGGAGCACTCGGACCGGCTTGATCCATCGATTGTTGTGGATCTTGTTTGGAAGTGCTTGAACCGTGTTCATCAATTGGCCGTTTTCGACCTCGTTTGGAAGTACTTGGACTGGGTTGATCCATTGGTTGTTGCTGGTCTTGGTTATCAATATTTGAATCGGGTTTATCAATTGGATTAGATACTTGACTGAAAGTGCTTGAACTGGGTTGATTCACTATATTCTGCCAGTCTTCATTGGAAGTGTTTGGATCAATCGGATCAAATATGCTTTTCCAGTTTTCGTCAAGAATGCTTGAATTAATTGCATCAATTATACTTTGCCAATCTTGGTCGGGAGTCTCTGGATTAGGTTTATCAGTTGGGCTGGACAATTGACTCGAAGTGACTGATGCTTTGGGTGAACGATCGTTATCAGTCGGTATCAGTATTGCATTGGCAGTTGCTGCTGCGCTCAGTACAAATAAAATATCAACCAATTTCATCAGAACGATGAATGGGTTCAAACAATTAGTAGAAAGTAGAGTGTTGAAACTGATATTGATTATAGGACTGAATGTATTGTATTTGTATGTTTCTGTATAGCAAACCAACCCTAACCCTTTTAGGTTAGCAAATATACAGGGTTACTTGATCGCTTGTAGTGGTTACTATCAAACCACAGTATGCTGCTCCCTATCCACAATATCATATTGATGATCATGCCGATTGAACTATGCTTTTGTGACCCTTTGATTAGGTATATTGAAAAGCACCCTTCGGGAATGTTGTATAACCGCAAACGCTTTGATTTACAACCGTATTCATGTCAAATGGATCACTTTGGTATTCATTATGCAGTGACTGTATTCTGCATTGCATGTTTGATATACAACAACCATCATATGACACACAATCAGACTATAATGTTGAATCTACACTTTGTGCTCTTAGTAATCATACATTGCACAATCACCAAGTTTGGACCCACATTCATATGTTGTGTTGGACTGTCAATATTGTCAATACAACTCTGTACACACATTTGTTGTATTTTGAATCACGGATACGATCGCAATCTAGTTCAACAACAATCATGACACATGTCAGTAATGCAACTGTATTATCGACCATGACATGACACTGTTATTTAGTGGTCCATTTACATCAATACGGTCGCAAGTTGTTGTTATATCACGTATTCTGGACATGGTTTTGATATTACGCATCCAACTCCATCACATTGTTGTTGACCCATCATTGTAATGCTGTATGTCACCATAACCATAGACATGGACATGAGTATGTGGTTTCACGTATAATATTACAACCATGCATGTCGTTGGTTGAATCATCACTGCTAGTGTATACTACACTACACTACATGTATGTTGGCATGTGTTGTACCAATTTGGTTGCATTGTTACAATGTGGCATGCTCCAACCTGTTTGGATGACTGTTGTGCAACATATTGATATCATACACATGTGATACTGGCCACCAACAAAGTGATCGGCGGTATTTGATCGTATCATTCAATTGATCATCCAATCTCATAATCAATGCATTTCAACATACTCCACTACATGTACTGGGCCATGACAATAACCTATACAATACATATCAACTGATACAATTACCAACCATTGCATGATTTCAGTTGTCAATCAAGTCGATATTATGATATTGTTCAATGTCAAATATACAACCAAATCAACAAGACACAGTCCAAACTGATCCAATACTGTACCACTGCAAACTTCCAAGAACAGGCCAATCGCCAATGTGGACACTCGTTGATCAAACTTGTAACCACATCAACCATGGGCTCAACGTTGCAGCTATACTCATGATTGAACAACTGTGTACATCGTGTATATGCATATTGACGCTAGATGAGTTGAATGACAATCACTCGGTCAATATCAATCATGACTTGGCGGGTTGGTGATTTCATGCATTGTGCAAGCTGGTTGTTTAGTCGATGTGATACTTTAAACTGATCATCACTGCACACCATTCTCAAAAACACTGTAGTAAACTCCATTACTTTGATCTACACAACACATGTTGATTAGTTTAGTCATGACGTGAACAAGAGGCAATAGCACATGTAAAGTAAATCGATCATGTCATAACTAAATGCCAAACCCATTTCATATTCTTGCTTGACCTTTACTATATTTTGACACTAACCCTTTTTAGGGTTGAAAGGGTGGAAAATTACACAGTTGGTCAGTCAACCCTAAAATGTTCGAATGCGCAGCCAAGCAGCGGTCTAATCAAGGTTGCGGATCACTGTACAAATGAATCTTTAAAATACTTTGCCATTGGTAGCGATAAATCACCACAAATCCTAATAATACGAGTTCCTTAAAACGGCCATTTAAGGAACACGCTTTTAGTATTATATACTTGATAATGGATATAAATACAATATAAAAATCAATGTGTTGGATAACATTTATCACACCCTGCTCAATCAAACTAGTATAATGAAACTGTTGATCACCGCACTGTCATCGATATTGGCTGTCTGCTCAGTCACAGTCGCCAATCCAGTCCTTACCAGCTCAATTACAAGCATAGAATCTACTTCCACCACAGCTTCTCCTAGTACGACTGCAGCTAGTGAACCTGACTATTCAAATCCTTTTGATCCATATAGTCTATATATGACTAATTGTTATCCAATTAATTTTGATGGAATATTACTAATCGAAATGCTTGCATCAACTACACATAGAGCTGAACAAATAGAAAAAAGCATCAACAAGAAAAAGGCTGAAACTAAAAATCAAAAAAAAGTGGTGGGCAGACTCAAGGAAAAAATTGTCTCCCTGAGGGCTGGCCCTTCAGGCTGGCCCTTCAGGCTGGCCCTTCAGGCTATGGATTAGGAATTCTCAATCTTGAATCTATGCTTGCTGAAGAGGTTAAGATTCTTAAGAAGCACCGAGAGGATTTGAATGAACTTCTCTTGGAGTATTCGAATATCAATGAGGAAGTGACCAAGTCACGATCAGAGCTTGGAGAGCATTTTAAGAAAAATTATAAAACCAAGGCAATGAATGCTAACGGTGAAATAGACCTGGATTTAATTCCCGAATTCTTAAGCTGCTTTGATTCTTTCTATTATCGCCTACCACAGTGATTGCTACATTCTGGGTATGGTGCAACTTTTCAAGATTCTGGTACTCGGCAACAAACTCATGGACCAAATTCGTCACATTGTTGCAGCTCAAAGTGGGTTATCAGCAACCTCATCTAGGATATGTTGTAATGCAGCGTGTATTGCATGTTGGTTTAATTGTCATTTGTCATGTATCCAATCTCACTCATTCAATAAACACCTTTTATTGCCAAACCATGTGTATTAGACTAATTACTTGATCATATTGCACCAATCAACTATCATGCATTGTATTGATTATTGCAGTGTCATTGCTGAATCCACGCGATTGTGTATATTGTCATTTGGGTTACCAATCAACCCATTACATTTGACACCAACCCATTGTTATCACTGGACTATTTAATCCAAGTGATCCAGATGATCCAAATGATTTGGCTGGTTTTGACAGTATCCACAAATCCATGTTTAATATTTGCACATATTTCATTGACATGCTACAAACTGATATTGAACGTCACATTACATTGTTTTGGTCTTGAATGGTACGATATGTATCAGCCGATGTTTCGTATTCACATTCACATCCACATCCAGTATATACAACAAATCTGTCCATAATTCAACATATCAGCCATATTTGATTTGACAGTCATTTGTCACATTGTTGTGTACTTGCAATGATCAGTATCAATCATTTGCATGTAGTCAGTTGTCTAGTGTAATGTATGCAGTATGATCACATAACATGACATCTGATGATATAGCATACACCACAACCACAACCGGAAACGTTGATCGTCGATTGTCGTCCCAATCAATATCAACAGTTGCATCAAACAAATCCATAAATCCACAACTCGGCAAATGCAATGCATACAACTACAACATGTGTATACGAATACCGAGTGTGTCCAACTATAAACTATGTATATTGAGACCATTGGATAGTATATTCGACACGTCATTGACATTGATAGTCAAGTAGTATTGCGAGTGACCCTATGCATGCAACAGGTTGATATGGTTGATATGGTTGATATGGTTGACATGTTGGTGTTGGATGTATCAATGTGACTATATTCCGGTATACACCACACATATACAGTGGTAAACATCAACGTGTGATGTATCCAGTGATCGTATACTGGTCGATTGGTACAGTATGATCAATTCAGACATACTATTGTATTGGTAATAGATCTATTTGCACAATAATAGAGTGGATAAATAAAAATGTTTGTGAATCATCGTGTAGTGATCAAAACATATTTGCCGCATTATGATGCCGCTACACAGCATATTGTGGATAAAGTCTAACCATGATATCGGATTTCAGCTCAAACGACCAGCAATTGTATAAAGGGAGATTTTTAAGTTGGTTTGGTGTTGATGACAGTAAATCACCATTAACCCTGTAAATAAATCAATACGCTAGAACGGCCATTTAAGGAACATGCTTTTAATATTATCCACCAATAATGGATATAAATACAATTCAAAACCGACGTGTTGAATGATATTCATTACAACTTGCCCAACCAAACCAGCAAAATGAAATTCTCAATTGCCGTACTGTCATCAATCCTTGCTGTCTGCTCAGTCACCGTTGCCAATCCAGTTGATCCCAGTTTGACTACGACCACGAGCACTGAAGCTAGTACTTCGACAACCTCTCCAAGCGCAACTTCAACTGATGGACCTGACTATCCAAGTTTTCCTAGCCCATATGACCAATATCTGAATGACTGTTTTCCAATTGATTTGGAAGGAATATTCCTGATCAAGCAATACGCGGATGGTAAAAATAGATACGACAAGGAAAAGAAAAAGGTCGACGAGAAACAGTCCAAGATTGAAGAGCATGAACAATTGTGGCAAGAGCTAAACACCGAATTTATCAATAGAAGGGAAAAAGTTTTTCAAGGCATTGGTGTTGATAATTTTATATCAGATCAATATGATTATCAATGCCGGCTTTTTGAACAGTGGGCTAATATTGACAGGCTTAAAAAAGAAATGGAGAAGCTCCACAAGAAGTATACAAAAGTGCACGAGAAATGGACCAAGTTACAATCGGAACTTTATGATTACCTCTTGGAACATGATAAAACTGCAGTAATGACCACTGATGGTACACCAGACCTGAATTTATATCCCGGATTCATGAAATGTTTTAGTATTTTCTACAATGGCTCACCACAGTGATTCGACACTCTGGGTATGATGCAACTTTTCAAGATTCTGATGTTTGGCAACAAACTCATGGACCAGATTCGTTACATTTCTGAAGTTGAGTGAACCATCACAATCCCATCCAGTATATACTGCAATGCAGCGTGTATTGCATGGTGGTTTAATTGTCATGTGTCATGCATTCAATATCATTCATTCAATAAACATCCTGTATTGTCAAACAATAGTGTATTATACTAATGGTTTGATCATATTGCACCAATCAACTACTATATGCTGTCATGACTGATCATTCGGTGTGCAACACATATTGGATACACACAAATCCATGACTGTCAATACTTGTTGTTGAAATGGGTTCAGATCACCATCAGCTCACTCACTCGTTGCACCGATGCAACTGCATGATCAACCTGACACCAACCAAACCACACTCGAATATATATGTTCCATTCATGTGCATGGTGTATCGATTGTCAACTCCAACACATTACATCATGATTATGGTCACATCACACCATGCTGATGTATGTCGATTGGTATCACATTGCAACCAGTTATCATCCAATGACTGCAATGCAATACCGTGCATGTATTGTGACTGATACGCTGTGCACCATCAGCAAGTGTGCAACTGTCACTTGATATATCGACTCTGATATGCAACAACATGCTGTGTTTACCATGATCAGGTTTTTGATCAATCTTGAACTCATGATACATGATTTGTCATGTTGGATCGTGTGGATGTGTCATGGACTGCAATTTAGTTGCAGACACACATATGTTTGACATTGACTGATGCATACTGTGCAACGACTGATCAGTGCGGGTGTGATTGCACACTTGGTGGTATTGTGCATTATGGTTGTTTGACAACGGATGAATGCTGGATTAATCGGTTATATGCAATCCATTTGAATCGACCTATTTGGACCATCACTCGATGTAACTGACAACAATGTGTATACATGGCTGTTGGATCAATCGAGTTTCTGATGGTAGCGTACCATTGGTAACAAACACAATCAACACTGGTTATCCGGTCATTAATGTATATGGAACAAGCCGTGTCAATGTATCAATCAACAATCCAGTAACTGTTGATGTAATATCCAACGCAGTATACACAAACATGCAGTGCACAATCAATGATATGGTTGTTGACCCATTCACAATATTCGATAAATGCCAATACATCAAAAAGTTTAAATTTATTCAAAATCAAAATCATCATCAATCCAAATCTAAATCCGACTTTTGAAATTTTAAACCATGCCTTTTCATAAACTTTTTCAATTGTTGCCTGATACTGTATACTCTTGTGCTTACCTCTCTATACTCTTGTTTCAATCGCTTTTCAACCTTTGGATCGTACGTTGATTCAGATACATCTTTGCCCATTTCTAACGCTGACCGGTGTTCCCATCCAAGGCTTTCATAGTCATAATACTCTTTGTGTTTTTTGTCTTGTATTATTTTAGACACTACAAGTTTTTGTCTTATACGATCAAGGGTTCTCTGATATCTTTGGCGTAATACAGCTATTTGATTTGTAACAGTATTGGCAGACTCATCCTCGTCTATTGGCTGTTGCTGGTTTTGACTGGAAGTGTTCGGACTGGGTTGATCAGTTGGTTGTTGCTGGTCTTGGTTATCAATATTTGAATTGACCTCATCAATCAACTCTCGCCAGTCTTCCGGAATGCCTGGATCGGGTTTATCGATTACATTTTTCCAAACTTGTTTGGAAGTGCTTGGACCCAGTTCATCAATTGGTCGTTTTCGACCTCGTCTGGAAGTGCTTGGATCAACTACATCAATTGATTGTTGCTGGTCTTGGTTGGGGTTTTTTGAATGAATCATATCCATTATTTCTTGCCAGTCATCTTCGGGAATTTGTGGAATAGGCTCATTGGTTGAACCAGACACTTGACTGAAAATGTTTGGATCAACTACATCAATTGGTTGTTGTTGGTCTTGATTGGGGTTTTTTGAATGAATCATATCCATTATTTCTTGCCAGTCATCGTCGGGAATTTGTGGAATAGGCTCATTTGTTGGACCAGACACTTGACTGAAAGTGCCTGATGCTTGGAGTGAACCATCGTTACCAGTCGGTATCAATATTGCATTAGTGGTTGCTGCCGCGCTCAGTACGAATAAAATATCAACCAATTTCATTAGATTGGTCAATGAGTTTAAACGACTAGTAGAAAGTAGAGTGTTGAAACTGATATTGATTGTAAAACTGAATGTACTCGATTGTATTTATATGTTTTGTATAGCAAACCAACCCTTTTAGGTTAACCAATATACAGGGTTACTTGATTGTTTGTAGTGGGTTACTATCAAACTAGACAGTATGCTGCTCCCTATCCACAATATCATATTGATGTTCATGTCAATTGAACTATGCTTTTACGACCCTTTTATCAAATTTCTTGGAAATCACCCTTCAAGGGTGTTATGGCCACAGACACTTTGTTTTACAACCGTATTCATGTCAAATGGATTCCTTCGGTATTCATTGTGCAATGACTGTATTCTGTGTTGCAACATACAATAGTTACACATTCAGTTGACTGGTATTACACATTGACTGCATTACGTGTTCAATATACAACGACCATAATATGACACGCAATCAGACTATAATGTTGAATCTACACTTTGTGCACTCTTAGTAATCATACATTGTACGATCACCAAGTTTGAACCCACATTCATGTATTGTGTTTGACTGTCAATGTTGTCAATACAACTCTGTACACACATTTGTTGATGATATTCATGACCAAACTGTAACAATGTGTATTTTGCATTGGATTTGAACTGCAATCTGCGACTTGTACGCATTATGATGCATTGTTTCAATAGCCATGTTGCATTCATCAACATCAACGTGCAGTGTCGATCTGATGTTTGGTGTTGATGTTGTGTTGATATTCCAACAACACTGAATATCGCAAATCAAGTCAGCATTGACTCGTGTGATAATAATCCACAGACAGTCGGTCTTATCAAACTGTTGTACAAACATATTGACATTCGATCGATCGGAACGACAATCAATCACTCCAATGTGTTGCTGGATATACAAACTATAACACACATGGTGACTGTTTATGTAACACATGTCGTAACACAACATTGAATCAATCAAACTGCAATTACACACTCCATCATATGTCGCATGTGTTGGCATGTCAAGTGTGGTGATATCAGGTCAAAACAGTTGATTGGCATAATAATCCATCAACATTCGAGTCGTTTGGTCAGCCAAACAGTTGTATCATGCGGTAATATCAATATACTGTGATTGTAGCATGTCATTCATCAGACATTGTTGAAACCATTACAAAACCTGTTTGGACCAAATCAAACTGTGACGAATACCGCATACTCGGATCATCATCAACTAAACCAGGAATACACACTTTTCCAATATTTGCGATTGATGATTGAACCTGATTCATGGCTAATTCGTCGAGTGTTTGCAATGTGTTAATACAACCAGTCATATATCATTTGGTGTTGTTAACTTGTGGTTTGGTGATGGTTTGATTGCAAGTGATTCCTGGACACAACACATTGCAAACCAAGCAACTTGACTACTTGAACGACTCAAATGACTCGATACTAACCGGAATTCAATACAATTGTTGAATAGCCCGTGTAATATCAGATCTAGTCAAGCCAACAGACAAGCCAACAAACACGACAGCCGATACAACTATATACAGCAAAAATGCGTTGGATTCATTTGTGATTGTATACTCATCAATCTTGAATGACAGTGTTTGTGCAGTTTTGGATATAGGTTGTATGAATATTGCAACAAACATGTAGTATTATAGTATGACTGACATATACTACTATTGGATCAAACAACATAACAGTCCGATATAATGTCAAATATATATGTGCATAGAATGGTCACCAAACCTGATCGGTTGTGTATCAATCATAAACAACTACCAATTAGCAACAAGTGACATTCGTATACATTGACAGAATTACTACAGACAACACCAACAATTACAAGATTACGTGCAATATATCAAGAATTGTGACATGGTTTCAATAAACCAACAACAACTGAACAAATGGCATTGCAATGATTATTCATAGAACAAGGCAATCAAACGACAACGACAGTGTTAGTGACGATTATATTGGACAATATTCATGATTCAAATATTGACAGTCAAACATTGGTTAACCAACAGTTGTACGATTATACAACTGACCCGTGTATTGACAAGTGATCAACCTCGATCCGGTCATAGTTGAAACGGTATATCACAGGACTCGAAAGTTGTCAGTATTGTTGTGGTGTAATATTAGCAACTACACACAACTTGACATGAATGACAATGTTGATATCGAGACTGTCAATGTATTACAGTGTATTGGTCAACAGTGACTGAGATCAATGACAATATTGCAGTCAATTCAATCCAATTGTTGATTGGAACAATCATTATCCACTTGTCAGATTCAGCATATAAATGAATGTTTTGTAACATATTTACTAATCCAACAATTGACTGATTTAAACATTGAATATTAAAATGTTGAATAAAAGACTCGAGTCATTATATGAATGACGTAATCAATTGAGTTGAATTGACACTCGATTGAACAATACAAATAAACACATGACAAATGTTTAATTTGATTGTAATTTCACACAAAATTGCTTAATTCAAAGTGTGAATTTGTCTCATTCTTCACACGCCATTAAATTTTGGATTTAAAGTCCAATTTTGTCTCTTTTACAAACTAAATGGAAAACACTTTACATTCAATACCTCAACAACCAACCAATGGAAATAGAAACTCACTTTGATGGAGAATTGGATAGCAAAAGACCACTTGACGATGTTTCAACACTAATTGCAGCCTTTCAAGCAAGACCAGGGTCGCTTCTCGGTAACACTGACTCGGAACTCATCACTCCACTATGTGATGGATGGGGTGGAGACCAACTACAACGCATGGGACTCGCTTGCTGCACTTGAAACAAATGGGACTGTTGGATCCAGTCCACTCATAATCAAATCACACAGTGGTACTGGACAAGGCGTCGCTAGTTCAGTGTCAGGAGCGTCAGTGGGTGTGAATATCAGACTGGTTTCGGGGGAACTTGAAGAAACTACAAATCCATCACTTTCAAATTATTGCCACATTGCCGATTCTTTAAAAAACGACAACTGTGTCGTGCAAATCGTAAATACTCTCCTTTCAGTCACAGCTGGAGAACTTTCCGAGTCGAACTTCACAAACTTACCGTTCACGTTTCCCGAGGGCTCGTCTGGCTCAGGAAAGAGTCAGATGGGCTTTAATATCAAAGCCAATATCGGTAATGAGAGGAGAGTGCACTACTTCCTGTTTGATCCTCCTAGCTCAACATCACAGGATATTTACCGCAATTTCCAAAACACTTCAAAGTTGTTCAGCAAGTGTTATGTGGCGGATGAGCACATGTATAGCTCTGAAGCTTCGTCTCCAAGCTGTGGCTCGTTGTTCAAAGAAAGTCTATATATTTATGGATTTATTTTTGAACTGCTATCTGATAAAACTCAGTCATCCAGAATAAACACTGATCTAAGTCAATGGATTTCTTGGAAAGTCATCAGTTTTCAAACATCTTTGTCAGTCTTTGAATCAATACTGATCGTGGATGATTGAGTTTCGTCGGATAGCAATTTAAAAATAAATTCATAAATTCATAAACCTTTTTTGAATAGCAAACCACAGCTTGGAGACGAAGCTTCAGAGCTATACATGTGCTCATCCGCCGCATAACACTTGCTGAACAACTTTGAAGTGTTTTGGAAATTGCGGTAAATATCCTGTGATGTTGAGCTAGGAGGATCAAACAGGAAGTAGTGCACTCTCCTCTCATTACCGATATTGGCTTTGATGTTAAAGCCCATCTGACTCTTTCCTGAGCCAGACGAGCCTTTGAGAAACGTGAACGGTAAGTTTGTGAAGTTCGACTCGGAAAGTTCTCCAGCTGTGACTGAAAGGAGAGTATTTACGATTTGCACGACACAGTTGTCGTTTTTTAAAGAATCGGCAATGTGGCAATAATTTGAAAGTGATGGATTTGTAGTTTCTTCAAGTTCCCCCGAAACCAGTCTGATATTCACACCCACTGACGCTCCTGACACTGAACTAGCGACGCCTTGTCCAGTACCACTGTGTGATTTGATTATGAGTGAATGGTCCAATCATTGCTGTGAATGCGATTTCAGTTTCAATTCAATATCCAGTTGGTTGTTACAATCATTCACTCATCATCAAATCCAAGAATGATGTTGGCTCAAACCCAACAATCACTGGTTCATACAATTATTTCAAGAAAACTATCCAGATCAATGGTATCAATGTTTCTACAAATCATCTCAAAAGACCTGATCAACTTGACAAACTCACATACTTGGTTTGAGTATCGGTTTGTCATATTGACTTGTTCATCTGATTCTGCAAAACCTATATTCATTAATATGTATCAACATAGTCTCAAACAAATGTCATTTGGATTTGTTTCTTGGACAAGATTGCACGACACTTTTGTTGGAAATGCATTGATTGTTCCAAACAACAACGGATAGAATTGGAAAAAGTAAAACTGTTGTTTCTTGATGATGCTCAACAGTAATTACAAGACACAAGTTTATGGAGACTTTTAATCAAAGCATCGCTGAGTTGGTTGTCATTAAGCATGCGATTTATCATTGCATCAAACCATATTTTTGTTGGAGGAATTTCAAGTCCTGTTGAACTCGGTAGTCTTTCAGGTCTTGAAAAGTGACTTTCTACTTATTCCAGCCAAACTCTGTGAATTCCATGAATTCCATGAATTTCTGGATTTACTCGTTATTGGGCTGCCAAATAACATGAACAATGAGACCTTGAAACATGTTCTTGTAACGGAATGTGATGGTCTTGTTGGTGCGCTGTGTGTGTCGATTGATGATCTAAAAACACAATGTCTAAACAACATTGAACCCACTCGAGCAGATCTACTACAATACTGTCTATCAAACAATTCCATGTTGGGTATGACTCGTTGTTTTGGAAGCGACCATTCAGATCTGATTAGAATGGTTTTAAACTGCTACTCAAGAAATGTCTGACAAAAATCATCGATTGGGCAACTTGGAAACCCAGCAAAATATGGAATCTTATTCATCACTCAAAAGGCTGGAATATTGATGGAGTCGTTTGACCTTGAACTTGCTTTTACTTTGCTGTTGGTCAAAAAATACTATTCAAATGGACATTCACAAACTGCTTTCCATCACAGCATTTGTCTCTTCAAAAACTCATACGCAATGTTGTCTCATCAATATCGACCAATGTATTGGAATCTGTTTCGTCATGCGGTTTTCCAAATGAAACAACTTTACAACACATGTTTATGGAGATATTGGTTTACTTGACTAAACCAGACTGTTCAATCTAACCAAAACTATCAAAAGTATTTCCCAACAACTCGAATGTGACGGACACTATTGATGGTGGAATTGATTATTATTTGGTCAATGGACTAGCAATCAATCAACACATTGACAGATTTACCATCCCAAATGGAAACAACGACAATCCAGTTGTAATCCATATTGAGCCTTGAATTCAAACAGTCGTGAATCAAATCATTAATAAACTACAAAAACAGTCCAATATGCCAACTCGCATTTATCCACAACTCGATACGTGATGTTCAAATGTCTAATATTCAGACTGTGCTGATTGCAATTGTGGTTGTAATTGTGGTTGTGTGTAAATATCAATCCAATACTCGATTCAATACTTGATTCAACTTGAACATGTACAGTTTTGTAGTAATCCATTTGATCACATTGACAGAATCAAGCAATGATCTGATTCAACAACACCGAATGATGCATCCATATCACTTGTATCAATCAATTGTACACAATCAGTCAATATAATCAACAGTCACTGTCAAGATTGGCATGATTGATTCAATTCATTCAATTTATTCGATCCATTTAATTGCATAGATCTGACTGGCATTGCAACTCATTGTTGTAAAATCACTACCTCACAATCAATTATCAATGATCAAGATAATACACCCGCTCATATATGTATTTGTTGTATGCTCTTATGATTCGAGTTCGGTCACTTGTCAATTCATCTCGATAGTGTTTGGCTTCAGTTGGTGATTGAACACCTTGAATATACTGCGTGGCATCATTCCACAGTTCAGGCAGTATGGGTGTCTTGTCAAGACTCGAGTTGTACCATTGTGGTTGTTGTGGAGCCACATGCGCAGTCGAAACAATCCGATAGGCTGGATTCACTACAAAAAATGTCAAAATCTTGCAGTGTCCTGGTTGAGTTGGATCTGCAAGTTCAAATGATTGTTCTTTGTGTTGGTATCGATTGGGATAAACTGCACATCGACCACTTGGTAACTCAAGCGATCCTAGATACTGACTATGCGGTGATTCTAGATCAATTCCATACACATCTTTCCAATACATATTAGATGCTCTTTCATCAAACCGATCAACAGCCTCGCGGAAATCGAGTTTGGGTGTGGTGATATTTTCCACGTCGTAGTAATACAGTCCAGTTGCAACAATCGATTCGTTAATTGGACCTTCATTGTGCCAGTTTCCCTCGTCGTATTTAGGTTTGGATGGTGTCAGTTGAATGTTGGTGAGTTTGACAATGACTTGTAGATTACGACCACGCAGTGATACTGGTTTTGCTGATTCATAACTGGGTTCAAAATGTTCCGGAAGTGTTGGTACATACACGGGACGAATGACTTTAGTGTCTGATTCCATACCACCACGATCTGACTGGCTTGGTGGTTCATATCCATCTGTGCCATTGCGAATATCAATATACTTGAACACTGGATCCATCGTTCTGAACAGACTTTCAAACATTGGGACAAAACATTTGAATATTTTGGCAATGCATTTGTACATGTCTCGATGCCATATCGGATTCAGATTGTTGATGTATGAGTTGATGGTCACACTGCCATCCTGTTCGACACGGAATTCACTCGGAAGACATTGGAACTTGCGTGATATAAACTTGGGATTGCCTTCAATGATGGGCGTATCTGAAACAAGTCGAGTCGATAACAATATATCGCATGGTACCATTGTGATGTATTTGAGTCGTATACTCAGTGGTGCAATCATCGTTTGTCCATATACAACACTGTACATTGATGCATCAATCAGATTGTGCACCATTTGACCAGTGTTGTGATTTGATCCATGTTCAATATCCGATACATTTGTCATCAATCGCGTGTATATATTGTCAGGTATGCCATTGTCCAGTATATACGTCAGTTCAACAGGTCCTGGTACAATTGTGCCCAATCCATCACTGCCATTACAAACAAGCTGCTCGACAAAAACCCCGAGTTGTTCCAACGCAAGATTAAATGTTGATGGTGATATATTCCGATCGAGTGAGTCAGCCCTCCATTGTTCCACAATATGCTGGTTTGTGATATCGATCCACCACATGGGTTTGCAAAGTATACATTGCAGATACTGGATATACCGCATTTCGACAAGTGTGCGTACCTCTCCATGTTTATATCCGGCAATTCCAGATTTCATATCAATTTTGGCATTGTCGTCATATGGCTGAATACTTGAACTAGCAACATGAACCCGATGCTGAAAACACGTTTTAATGATCTGACCAGCAGCCCTCTTGTTTATGTAGTTAGCAGTATCCGATTTTACAATAGCCGTTAGATTTTCAAACATCCCGCCTTGATCCAACTCGGTACGTATTGAACTGTCGGGATGATTGTCGGCAAAACCAGCAAGTGTTTTGAGTAAGTTTACAGCACCAGCGTCATAACTAAAGAGGCCATAAAAAAGTATATTTCTACGTGAATAAATAGTGTCGAGTTGCTTTACAATTCCATATTCTCGAAACACCTTGATCATCTCGGCCTTGTTTGTAGATGTCTGAATCATGTTGCTGACATTATTAAACAGACGCAAAGAGTCATACATATCAACATCATACATCGATATCGTCAATTGCTCAAAACCAACGACCGTGCAAGTGATACAGGAAAGTCGCGCATATTGGATGCAACTGATCCAGCTACTTCGATTATGCGTGTTTTTAGTTCAGAGTTGTTGCTGTATTTGATACACAAGTCGTTCAGTATTTGAATTAAACCCGACCTTATAAACTCGGCTGAAATCACTTCACAATCTGCACGTTTGCAAAAGTTCTCAATAGTATAAATACTTTGATCAATCACTTCTTGATCGACACTCCTGTATTCATGTCATGTCAATCCAACCATGTCAAATTTACCAATTGTGATGACTGGACACATTCATGCATAACATCACATACCTGAGCGTATTGACCAGTGCTGGAATGATGCCACATTCCGCTGCTTTTACTGGGTTATGACAATAAATATTCCGATACATGGTTTGAAGATTTCTGATGAAACCAACAGCAACTGAACCATTGGATGATTCCAGTCGTGAAATAAGTCTTGATACCACGATGCCAAACTAATGATATTGTTCAATGTCAAGTATACAATCAACATGACATGACAAGACACTGTCCAAACTGATCCAATATTGTATCATTGTAAACATACATTTTCATCGTCAATATTATGGTAAACTTTCAAAAAC